TCAATCTTTGTTTACCTGACTCTGTAGAAAGCATTGTACAGGGTATAAAAATTCTATAGATAGCAACAGGTGGTTCTAAAGTAAACCCTTACTCTTTTTTATTAAAAATAATAAAGACACACACACACCGTAAGATAGGTTCTTTTCATGTCTTTTACTCTATAAATTCCAAACAATTAATTGTACAGAGTGGGTATTGGAAGCTAATTAACGTATCTACACCAATAGCATGTTGAAACAAATTGTCCGGCTTAAATACACCTGTCTTCCAACTTGGAGCGCTTAATTTTATACACAGTACAATCTTCCACAGGTAGGATCGAAATATTACAACTAGTATAGTCTGTTTTATGATGGAATATATTAATATTGTACTGTCTAACGCATGGTCATCCACTTTTTAAGCTTCTCTCGGACTCTTCTATTCTTTACCACCGTCTTAGACAGAGACGTTTTATTTCGTTTTACTTTAGTCTTGACTGCTTTCCCATTTGGTGCTGTCTTGGCTGTGACAATTCGTATACCCTCTGCTTACTCTCCTGTACTTGTGGCAAATTGTTTTCATCTTTTTTAATTGCATAGACGACAAATATACCTCAGACAAATTGTTTCCTTAGCAAAGCAATTGTGAGAGAGCGCGTTCAGAAAACTTCCCGCTTTTTTTGAACAAATAATAGATTGTTGACTATCCAATCAGGGTTAAAAGCGACCAGGCAAGCCTATTGTTCTTAAGAGATATTACATACGGAGGAAGGCACTTATTAGTATGGAGGAACGCATTTTTACCTAGCTAGCTAGACACTGACTAGGCACATAATTAAATTGCAGGGAGGCAGTGACCAGGCACTTAATTTGTATGCAGGACACTTATAATAGTATAGAGAAAGACAGTTTTTAGTATGTAGGAAGACACTTCTCCGTATTAAGAAAGGGAAGACAGAGGAAGACACCAAAAAGGCTTAAATCATCCCTGTATCACTACTAGTGTCTGAAAAAAGTTTTTTGTGAATAATTTTTTTGCTAAAATGCGAAAAAGATCTTGGCTAGCCAATTTTTGCGAATGTGTTCAATCCTAGACATATCTCTCAAAATGCGTCACAATGCCCGACAAAGTGATAATAACCTTGTTTACTCAGTAGATCAAACGTTTTGGGTTTTCTTCGGCGCTTCGAGGCTCTATCTTTCAAACATTTGCTACGAAAACAGAGATGGAATTTTACATAAAACGGACTGCAAGAAGATAAACTGGGCATGAGCAGAGTAAATGGCGATATGAAGAGGGAAGTTCTCCCACAATTCAAGCGGTTTCAAAGAACTATTCAAAACAACCGAGTGACTTAAATCCTCATTTATATCAAGGCATGTGTTCAAAACAAGGCCCAACTCTGCGCGAGTTCTGCTTGCATTTCCGGTTACGTACTTTCCGATAACGAAAAGATTTAAAATATAAACAAACAACTGTGTTGGATAAATCTGGCCACGGTTGTGGCAGGTTTAATGAAATCAAAGCTAACAGAATCACAACACATCGATATATGTAAGCCGATTAACCTACTAAATAAAAAATGGGGCGACAAAAATAATACTAACGAAAAGTCTTTAGAGAATATGTCGAGTCCACAATGTAAAAGCTTAAGAACTAGAAGTGAATACTACCCAGTCCCTCAACGGGGATTCTCATTTTAACGGACTGTTGCGATCGCGATCACTATAAACATTACCACGGCACATTTAGGTCTGTTTTCATCTTCTGTGTTTGTATGTTTTGACCATTCCAATAAATGTCGACATTTCATTGTTAGTCAGGTGATTCTATTGTGGGAACTTGTTTATATTTGACCTTAAAATTTGGCTCCTACCCTTTATTTCTTTCGAAAACAATGCATTTTCTGCAATGAGCGACGTTAACTTTGTAGAAAGCCGATCAAACCGGGTCTTCTGGAGTACAAATACCGTGAGATATTTGTACTCTTTTTGAGTGTTATTTGTACTCTACTGATTGAAGTTCAATAATAATTCCAAATATTCCATATCTGGCCTTAATTACGTCGGTTGACGTTCTAATTACAAAGTGATCTGCAGGGAGTCTTAAGGACGCGCTTGGTTTCATGCAGAAAACATGGGGGAAAGTGCTTTCCACAATATAACTTCTCTATCTTTTTTCGACATTTCGGATACTTGGCTAAAATTTCTTCTTGCCTCTTGGAAAAATTTCGTTGTAGAATACTTCCATTATAAGTTTACTCCCCAATAATCTCCGTAAATCATTTTCTGCACCTCCTCCGACAAATGAGTGTGTGAGTAAACTCCCAAGTCTTTGCAAGCGGGAATAATCAACTCTTGACACCCACGATCCAGGGGACCTAAAAGAAGAACAGGAAAAGGAGTCAAAAAGTGTCATTTCAATTTTCATCGCGAACTATCCCGGACAGAAATCTTCTCCCCTGTCTAAGAAACGGCCAATCCCTTTGAAACGTGAATTTATACTATAATTTTATATATAAAAAAGAAAATATTAAATACAACAACAAACAGTCTCAGCGAATGCTTAGATAATATTGAGACAATGTTGGAACTGGGAATTAAAAAGTCCCTCAGCGTAGCATAAAACGAGACAATAAATTCAAGCCGTTTTACCTTTCATATTCAACCTCGATCACGTGATGTTCAATACCCTTTGTAATCTTGCAGAGGCTAACAGACGCGCTCTGGCATTTTAAAGGGCTCTAGGTCGTTGAGAAGACCTTTCTTTTTAGCCCTTTCCTCAAAGCTCCAATGAAGTGCTATTATTATTATTATCATTATTATTATTATTATTATTATTATTATTATTATTATTATTATTATCATCATCATTTATAAGAATAGCAAAGATACCCTCTGTAAATGTGTTCTCAGTAAAATATCTCGTCCTAAAAGATGCAGTTAGAGACCTTGAGGTGCAAATAGACAAGCGCTTAAATTCGGTTAAGGTCAAGTAAGGATGACATTGCCAGGCTTTAGTCACTTCAAAACGTCGAAGATGGAATTTTGTTCGGCAATATGAATTTTATCCTTAATTAAAATTCTATTTACCTCTAATTTGTTGTTGGGATGTAGGCTGTTCCAGGCGTTCAGAAAGTGGAGCGAGGGCGAAAAAAAAAGCGAACAAAGAAAAACAAAAGAAAGAAAAGGAAAACGGCGAGATAGGGGAGGAAGGTGCGCGTGCGATGGGCAAAGAGATTTCTTGGGACCAAAACTTGGTACCGTACAGGTTTTGTGCGCGCAGAATCTGAGCTCCAATTAGGCTTAAAAGTGGCGGCAACCAAGGGTTTCCTACTCTCGTTTTGTCTCGCGTCCTTCGCGAGCTTTCTGTTCTCTGGATCCACACTTTCAGTGACGAAACGACAGCGATTGACGCTTGGACTGATGAGAAAGACATCAATTGTTCTAGCCTGCGAAAACAGCCGTTTCTCCTCGCTCTTCGCCGCTGGGGACGTTTAGCGAGTAGGAACGTAAAGCTGAACAAATTTGCATTTGGAACCCCATGAGCAGCGGATCATTATGTAAACATTGATTTTCGTTCTCAAAATATCGGCCCATGTAAGGAAATCCATGAAACTCTTGGATTCTGGATTCCACGCCATGGATTCCGGATTCTAATCGTTGCGGTATTCTGGATTACTTAAGGTGTATTCCGGATTGCAGGTATTGGATTCAGGTTGATTCCTTGTCACTGAAACTTAGTTTCTGGATTCTAATCGTTAGTGGGATTCCGGATTTCTTAAGCTGTATTCCGAATTCAAAGCCCAGGAATCTGGAATCCACAAGCAAAAATTTCCCAGATTCCCTTACATGTACCCTGGGTAACAGAGTTTTTCCTCGCGTGCGACGGGGAGCTTTGTTTTGTTGGCTGCAGGCCGACACGTGTTTGGCCGAAGGTAGAAGACAGCCTCTGGCACCCAGGGTACCTTACCTGGGGCGAAAAATATGTGAACAGTCACAAGTTTATGGCACCTCGTCACTCACCCCAATCAATCGACAATATTGACATACATACAAGACGTTGTGATTTCCGGAAGTCATGACCTACACACATAGTATCGACAGTAATTCATAGGAGTCGTTTTCCCGTGCAAGGATCAATTACGCACCTTGGATCAAAACAGCATAATATAGGACTCCTTCCCATTACGCAACAAAATTGCAGCAGAATAATAAAATGATACATACATTGAAATTCCTCCAAAAAATTTAAGATATAATTTTTTTTCGTACAGTAGGCTGAGCCATCACCATCTTTTGCTAAAACTGAAGCGTACTGCAAACGTCTCTTATGTCCTTTTCAACATAACCAAGATTCTATACGCGGACCCTGTCTCTAACACCCTCAGCTCCCTTCTGGCATTGGGCACTTTATAAAAGTATCGGTACTTACTTGGTATGCTGTCGTTTGTCCTGAAGTTTGGCGGCTCGACGCACTTTTCGTCGCTTGGTTCTTCATCGGGAAGACTAAGACACAAAGCGAGTAATTCTTCCATATACTTTTGCATGAAGCTAGATCCACGAAAATCAGTGTACAAACACTTCTTCAAGAGCTCTCCACAAACGCGCTTGCAAGGAAGCACACGCTTTCCGCCGTTGCCACACTTAGGAAACGTACTCGAGCACTCCATGGTCACCACCAGGTTGAGGTCTGCGCATTTTTCCCATATTTGTATGGCAGTTTTCAAGGCGCTCGCTAACACGTCTTCAAATTCAGGCTTGTTTAGCTTCTCAGGCAAAGAGAAGGAAAAATTGTAGCCAGCTGATATGCAGATGTTAAAAGGAGAATTCACAAGACTTTTGCATTTGCCGTCTGTGCTAGATTCACATAAAACTGCTATTAAGATACTGCATAGTGATATGCAGCATAAGAAAGCTACTGAAGGAAATTTCATGGTTCATCCAGCTGTCCACTTCACTAATTGACCTGATAGAAATGACGGTCAAATCCTTGACTAGACTTCCTCAACCGCATCAAAAATTAAAATTCTGGGACTAACCGGAACCTCATCCTTCCGTTTAGATTGTTATATATATTGTGCCGGCAGATTTCGAGCAGAGTTAGATTACTGTCAAAAGACTAAGGTATTTATTTTAGAGCACAACTCGAGCAGAACAAAGGAAATTTAGGAACACTATTGATATGCATATATACAGTTTTGGTACAACTAGAATTTCGAAAAGACAAATTACGTGCGAGACTGCTGGCGCCAGAACATTTTAAGTGAGCAGAACCTATCCAAGCTTATTTCCGTTTGTAAACAGCCATTACATGCAACTGAAGCATCGCAATTTCTCTTTTTCATATGCTAGGATGTTAAAGGGAAGCCAAGGATGGAAACATAGAGACTTATGTTCATGGGACATCGTAGCTTAATCAAAAATAAAACACAAACAGCGGTGATAAACATATTATGAACTTTCGCATTTTTACATAAATTCGACGGTTTCGTATGCTAGTCATCATACTTTTTCAAAAGTGATCAAAAGTGACCGTTACAGAATATGACGAAACTATTTATGCCATTTCACTCCCATCTAGGAGCCTTTTAATCTCGTACCCAGATCTCCACGGCCAAGGGAAAAGGAGATCTCACTTTTCAGTGTAAAACAGAGTGAGATCTGGGTACGAAATTAAACCCCTTATGCCCGGGGGGGGGGGGGGGGGGGAACTCCTGAGAATTCCTGGTGGGGACTGCCGCCTGGTTCTCCAAATCCTAACCCTACTTCAGATTAAAAAATGTGTCATTTTTCACACCCATTTTCAGACTCGTCTCTAAGAAATTATGTCATTATTACTTAGATTAGAATAGTAACAAAAAAATGTCTTAAAATTCATTTCGGATTCGCATAAGAGTCACTTTCTTTCTTAATCATTTGGAACTGAAACGATAAATACGTTTTATTCCCGTACTTCCCTCGAAAACCATATCCAATTCCAGACAAATATGGGCAATGTGTATGCCCGTTTTCAGATCAAAACGGCGCAAAAACCCTACCCTTTGGGGCGACCTATTTACCTACACGGCTTTTATAAGGGAGTAACCTCTGGGCTTTCATGAGTGATTTTCTGTTGTTCCCAGAGGCATTTAGGAGATTCATCCCAATAAGAGAGAAGAAATCAAACATATCAATAGCTTTTGGAACCCTTATTCGGTCTTTCTAATTACTCAGAATTCAAGCAAAAACATTGTTTTACTTATTGACTTGGTTATTATAAAGAAACAAATAAAGCATCAGGCATAAAAGTTGTGAAGTTAAAGCACCAGCTTTATACTGCTGCTGACAATAAAAGCTGGCTTAAGATCGTGTATATACAATGTTTCTTTTATCCTTCAGTGATAATATGATTTGCCCGCCGTTAAAATTTCGCGGGGAAGGGGTACTCCTGGGAATTCTTGGTGGGGGTGTGCCGCCACGTTCTCCAAATCCTGACCCGATTTCAGACCAAAAAATGTAATTTTCCACACCCGTTTTCAGACTAGACCGTCTAAAATTCGTACCTGTTTTCAGACCTGGGGCCCGTTTCTCGAAAGTCCCGCTAATTAACGGGCCCGGTAAGCCGTCTCCGTTTATGTTAAAGATCGAGGTTTCAAAAGTTTTGCATCTAGCATGATAGAGCTATCAGTTAGTGAAAGAAAAATGGAGTAGTTTGCTAGCCAGGACCCGCGCTCTTATTCTTTATATTTGGATTTGAATATTTGATTTCGGGCCCGAAAAGTTACCGGGACTTTCGAGAAACGGGCCCCTGGCCTTTAGGCAGAAATTTATGTTATCCTTACTTAGATTAGAGCGCAAACAAAAAAAAATTCTCCAAATCCATCTCGAATTCGAACATTTCTTTTTTGTTCTTACTCATCGATCATTTGGTATTGAAACGATCCTGATACGTTCATACACTCCTGTAGTTCCCTCAAAAACCATACCCGATTCCAGACCAGAATGGGCAAAGTGAGTACCCGTTTTCAGACCAAAACGGACGGGGGAAGGGTGGGTACACTCTTTTTTGGCGGCGGAGTCGCGAAAAGAGGGTTTGGCAAATTGACTTGTAGCCACTCTTCTCGCGGCTTCGCCAAAACAATACAGCACCCCCACGCTAATAAAGCTACAAAACTATCTATCCTCCTTTTCAAACAAATTTTCGCTTCAAAAGGGTTCTTACATGACGGCCGAGAGAGCTCTCATGTAGGTTAAAAAAGTGACTTACTTCGGGGAATTTTGCTATCTAAACAGTTCATGTAGTAGAAAAAGTATTACTTTAATGTTTATGAATTCCCCTAGGAATAAATTCACGCTTTTGTAGCAAAACTCGGTAACAGATGTTTCTGCTGGTTTCCGTCCGCCATGTTGTGTCCATCCGGAAGGGCACTAGCATGGCTTCTCCATACAAATCTCTATAAAGTTGGGTAAATCACTTCTCCGGATATCTCGTATACGAATTATTCCTTCGACCTAAATCTTGGCGAGGGTCTTTGTCTATTCACCTCCTTTCATTTCCCAGATTCTGGACTTTATCTATCGAATGGTTTTGATTTTATTTTGATATATTTTGAATGGCGTGACACTGAAAACCAACAATTTTTTCGACACGCAGGTACAGTTTATCAGGTACGAAGGGAAAGTATCACACACCCATAAGAACGTCTGGGAGAATAAATATAACCAAGATATTCGTAGTTTTTTCCTCCTGCTTTCCCACAATCCCTCCTCAGGAAAAGTAACTCTTCAGATAGTTTTTAACGTTTCTATGTTCTAGTAATGTAACTATTAGCAAGGCCAGTCCACTCTTGGGGGATTTCCATTAAAATAAACTCTTCTAAGAATAATGAGATCGTGATGATACTGCCCCTTTTAAGCTTTCTAAGCTACCAAATGTCAGACAGTTACTAGGACTGACGCTAAACTTGTCTTTGGCCTACTATTGAGCGCCTTCTTCATCGTGCTGTTTCTCGTACGCCACTCCAGGTGATGTCCTTCGCCACTTCCACCAAATTAAGCCCCCCAAGACGAGCCCCACAACTGCCAGGCACGACAGCACTGCCACAGCAATGACCCACCCTTTGGGGCCCTGCTTATTTGGTTCCTTGGATGGTGGTGACGTTGTTGTCGGGAGATCTGTGGAAAACAAAAGTTAAAACCAAAAGCAAAGTTGACACTGAGTTGATCGGACACCTACAGCTGAAATGGGTAACTTATTTTCGATAAACTGGCTGTTGCTATAGTAAAAGGACAGCCTGGAAGGGTCATCTCCAACCATTTCTGGCGTAATGCTAGCGTTGCGCAAGTAAATTCACATTTTTGCAAATTTTATTACAAGAACTCCTTTGGCGTCGTAAAACAATCCTGGACTACGCCTTTATAATGTGAGGATGACAGTCCAATAAGGAATTGTCATTGCATCCTGGAGGGGGTTGCCTTTTGTCATATAGCATTGACTACATAAGGGTCTCATGTTTTGCCTTCGATGTAGAAGAACACAGCCCTAATACAACTGGAGTGAGCAGTAGTGTATGGGACAAAGGACAACTGGTGAACGGATCATGGAACACGTATCTGGTATCACATTCCCGCCCATTTTTCTGGGGTGAATGTCATCATCACCGACTTGCCAAAGAGAGAGAGAGAGCCTGAGATCGAGATTTGCTGTACACACCCTGTAATCTTTGATGGTTACAAGTTACTAAGGTTACCCCTCCGATCTAATATGAAAACACCTTAATGGAAATTCAAAGAACTGGAAGGCCTCGGTTAGGTTTAAGAACTTGCAGCGCGGAACATATTTAATATTCTAAATTGCCTGAAAACAGCACTTCTGATCTGCTGGAAATACTCGCGAGAGTCATGGTGCGTCTTCTTGCATGTGACCATATAAACCACACTCATACAATAATGTAACAATCACTGACCTAAATAATCGAGCCAATGAAATGGAGAAGGCCATTCCTTTATGTCACAAAACAAATCGCCCGTGTCTCCCTCTGGAAGGAAACCACAATATTCTGCATCATTGAGGTCATTACTGAAAGGAAAATAAACAAACAAAACAAATCGGGCGGGTCCTATTTTCGCTTGTTATAAAACAAATAATTTTGCATTGTAAGAATTCTGCTAACCATAACGAAAAAAAAGGTTAACCATTAATTGCGTTAGACCAGGATATTGACCGTGCGTTTATCGCCAAAATCACTTCGCCACTGCGACCCTCTTCAGCTACAACATTTAGTCAATCTATTGTCCAAGTTCGTCCCAGATTGACATTTAATTAAAACTCCTATCTAGAAACAGCCAATGGAGCCTTTTCACTCACGTAACCAGCAACTATGCTAATTTACTGGAACATAAGAAAGTTTTTTTTATATGAGAGACAGGTTCAGTTCACACACCCGTACAACTGGCTTGAAACACCAACATAGCCGTTGCTTCATTGTTTTGGAACAACATGACGTCATGTGAAAACGCTCCATAAGATACTACCGTAACACGTTTCGAAAATAACGACTTTCCTAAAGTAGTCACTTTAAATTAAAGTTATGTCCCTTTTTGTTATAGCGATGAAATTCCGCAAGTGTTAACAAATTCCAAAAGTAGCGACGCCCCGAAAATAAGGACCCTGCGAAAGTATAGTAGCGACCTCTAAAGTAGTTTCCCTTTTTGCTTAAAGTTTGATTGGCTAATAGTTTGTTTTTGTCCAGGTTATCGACTTTGATAACTGTGCCGGACTGAAAAGGAAATTTATAGAGACAACAAAATTTACCTTAGTGATCCGAGGTTTACTTTTAACGGTTATTTAACCAGTAGACCACACTTTCTATGGATTCACCGGCGTGATAACCCACGCGGGATGTTCGGAGAACAGGAGAAAAGCTTGTAAATCATGAGCCGAAGGCGAGTGATTTACATTGAAGCTTTTCGAGTGCTCCCCCAACATCCCGCGTGGGTTATCACGCCGGTCAACCCATAGAAAGTGTGGTCTATTCCCGGGGGTCTATTGCGTTTATAAAATAACTTTAAGTAAAATGGAGTTTTCTATGAGTTTACCGGCACAATAAACCATAGGTTTTTAAACAATCAGAACGCGCGCACTATCTTAGTTAGTTATTTTATAAAATCCTTTATGTAACCCAAAAAGATACTTTACTTGAAGTCTTCCTTTCGTCTGGGAATACGAAACGTTAATCGAAACGTTAATACGACACGTTAATCACACAATTCTTTTGAAACATGAAATACGTTTCTCCAAATAAAAAGCGTTTTCACATGGTCGCGATCATGTTATCACCATAACCAGCGGCCCATGCGTGACAGCACACCAGCGTTTTAGCTATCCTACATAGCGACCCTCTGAAAGTAGCGAAAAGGCTGCTAAATCCAACCTCGTCCCCAGGGCGCTTTTCCCTGGCTTTGGAGGTGGAGAAAAGCGCCCTGGGGACGAGGTTGTGCTAAATCCGAAAGTAACGAGGGTCGTTACTTTCGAAACTTCACGGTACTTAATCAAAGCTTTACCTGAAATATCCCGGGCATTCTCTGGCGATGTCATTACACAGCGATCTACAAGGAGTCTTATAAACGGCCTTGGTTTCATGCAGAAAACACGGGGGAAACATATCGCCACAAAATAACGTCTCTGCATTTCTTCGACACTTCGGATACTTTGCAAAAGTGTTTTCGAACATCTTTGGAAAATCCCTTTGCAGGTCACTTTTGTTGTAAGATTTTCTCCAAAGAGTCAGGTATAGATGCTTCTGAACCGACTCCGACAAAAGAGTGTGTGAGTAAACACCCAAGTCTTTACAAGCCGGAATAATCAACTCCTGACACCCACGATCCAAGGGACCTAAAAGAAGAACAGAAAAAGGAGCCGGGGGGGTACTCAACAAAGTTTTATACGGGGAGGCACCGCCCCGAGGTCTCACCCCTTACTTTTTTTAATACCATTTTTGACAGAAAGGGCGACCCTTTCGTATACCTTCTATCAATAAAGCGTACCCCTTTCACATATCTGGTTCAGATCTTTGCATCTCTTACAAAACGGCTGTAAATGCATTGTCTTTAAAATGCGAACAAATCACAAAACCGGAACGTTTTCTATAATTTTTCACAGCCATAAAAAAAAGATCGGTTAGCCCTTGGGCTGGGCTTAGTTTTACAAACCGAAATGACACATTTCCGAGTCCAAAATCCCTACCCTTTTATAGTTTCATTTACCTGAAGCCGGAAAAGGCCGTGTACCCCTTTCAGGCGGAGCCTCCCCGTATATAGGCCATCCGATTGTGAGTACACCCCCGTACTTAAGACTACCTCACGGATGGTTTCCTTAGAATAACCTGAATGCGGTTTCAAAGTGGATAGCGAACAACCATTGGGACAGAGTGGATTTCTCAGTGAGGGTTCACATGCGAGAAAGACGCACACAACGCGAGAGGAGACGCGTGGTTTACGTAAACGGGAAAGAAAGGAAAGCTTGCAGCGATCTTTGATAATATTTAATTTTTTTCCCTTTTCCTCCGTACCGTACGGCTCGTTTTCCTCAAAGATACAATCCTTGAGCGGGAGAGCGGGTCGAGATGGTTGTCAAAGTGCATTGTGGGACTGTTTTAGGAGACGCATTTTCAACATGGCGGCAAATTCGATCCCCAAAACAGTCCCACAATGCACTTTGACAACCATCTCGACCTGGTCTCCCACGCAACCTCAGAGTGGCGAATTGAAACCGCTTGGATTCACTTTTTAAGAGACCCAGTCCCATACGACCTCGAACTCTGACATGCGTGCTGGACCGTAAGGAGAACAATGCCTCAAAATACGTCACTCGCCCCAGGCCAAAAATGTCACGGCCTAATATGATAGTTCTACATATTTAAAAATCTGTAAAAAAAAAATAAATAATAGATTTATCTCAAATCGAAAACAATTTGCGGCATCGTTTATGGCAATTTTTCTTTTTTTATTCTATTCTTTAACAAATTTGCGGCTGATATGCGAATACACTATGTGCACTTTAAGCGACCACCTATCCAAAAATATTCCCAGTGAGATCACTTCAGTTGGAACCTCTCGCAAACGACCGCCTCGGCTTTAGAATTTTCGTTTGTTTCCTGTTGGACGATCTAAACTCACTCAGACGAACTTGACTAAGCCAGAAGTCGAACTTTCATAAACTAACCTCCAAAGCCTAAGTTTGGTTCGATTCATGAAAAGTTCGACGTTTGGCCGAGGCCTAAGTTAATTGCAGGGGGCTTCGTTACCCGAAAAATTTCGACGTTTAGCCTTGGCATAAGCGATGATTTGATCTCTGTTTGCTGTATGTACTATACTTCCAAGAGAAGGCAATTTAGCGGCAACTACTCATATCTTTACTTAGAAAATGTAATATAAACTCGAGTAAACAGTGTAAAGAATCCTCTCCTAATTCAAGACGTAGATGTGACTGGACCTCAAGCTTCTAGGAGGAGACTCTAGTTGGTCAATTTCCGTAAAAAAAAGCGACCAGTGAACCTTTGTATTTGTGGTGGTCGCTTACGGGAGGTGTGACCAGGGATGTCACCGGCTTCGTTGCTAAGCCGAGTTGTTACGACAGATCAGACAGTCCGGAAGTCTTGGGCAGTAAACTGCGGCCTGTATTGAATGTCTCACTGAAGCCACTGTTTACACCCGATATGATATTTCTTCTAAGCCATATCACTGGACGAAAAAACGGATTTACCTCTATAGCAAATTTGGAGCAAATCATCTGCAAATGCCACATTTGCTTACCGTATTTATTCGAATAAGCGCCCAACCTCGAATTAGCGCCCACCTCGAATAAGCGCCCATCCTAAAGGTAGAAAAAGTTAATAAGCGCCCAGCCTCGAATAAGCGCCCACCCCTCCCCTTCTCAATCAAACTCAAAATAAGCGTTCACCCCTACCCCACCCACTTGAGTGAAGACATTCTAATAAGAGACTTCCCAGAGGACGGAGTTTTCTTCAGAGTATTTTACAGAAACCTGCTTTGTTACTTCTTCGCGTTTTGTCATTAGCATTTATTGTTTTGTTGCAAAATAAACATACTTCACTTTCTGAAAATGGTGAAAATTTAATAAGCGCCCAGCCTCGAATAAACGCCCATCTCGAATAAGCGCCCACTCTCAAGGTCCAAAAATTTAATAAGCGCCCAGGGCGGTTAATCGAATAAATACGGTAACTTGCTCAATTTTGCCACATGACATAGGACCAACTTTGCCATAATTTTGCATTAGTGGCAAAGGTGGTAAATGCCGAATTTGCCTCAAATTTGCCCCGTGTGTAAAAACAAGGATAACCTTTACTTTATCAAGGCATTTACAGGGGTGTCAAACTTGATAGCAAAACTGACATTTGTCAGGTTTTTGCCCAAATGGGCAAAAGCGATCGAAGATGAATTTTTGAATGCTTTTGCTCTCTATAGCAAATTCGGTCAAAGTACTAATTTGCCACATTTTTGCTCAATGTAGCAAAAGTGACCAAAACTCATTTTTCAACAGTTTTGCCCAGGATAGTAAATCTGAGCAAAAATTCACCTTATTTGTGTATCGCCCAGTGTAGTAAATGAGGTCAAATTATCACTTCTTCCGTATCTTTGCTCAGTGTGGCAAATATGATCAAAATAGGCGTTTGCCACTGTTTTGCTCAGGGTAGCAAATTTGGCCAAATACCACTTTATTCTCAATTTTGCTCAGGATGGCAGATATGATCAAAACAGTAGTTTCCCATACTTTTCCCCACTGTAGCAAAAGTGATCAAATATCAGTTCTTCTGTATCTTTGCTCAGGATAGCAAACATTGCCATGATAGCAGTTTTCCATACTTTACGTAAGGTAAACAAAGTTGATTAAAATATCACTTTTTTACACTTTCGCTCAAGATAGCAAATTTGATCAAAGCATCATTATCCACATGCTTCTTATTTTTATTTGGTACCATAAATGACTGACAAACAATTTAAACACCAAACAAAATTTCAAGAATAAAATGACTTTATTATCTTTAATATACACTGTACAATAAAAAGCAAGATAAATTAAAAGAAAGTTCCATTGGCCTCTGCAGGGCACTGCATGTATCACAAAATATATGCCTTTAAATAAAAAGCACATAAAATGTGAAACTATCTAAATTCATAAGTGTATAAGAATGTACATTGGGTTTGAAAGTGCAAGTCAACACTAGCTGGTTCATAATTATCTAAGGTTGGTACAGGTAAAACGTAACTCCATTTGAGTGGTATACTTCAAATATACTCTTTCTAGATTCAATTGATACTATTGGCAAATGGTTGTACGATGACAACACGTACACATCACTCCCAATGTAGATGTAACATCCTTACTAATGGACAGAACATCAACCACAGGAAATAAAATTAGCCTCAAATTATTGTGATAAGCGATATTCCTCTAATTATTATTTATAAGAACTTGTTTTCATCTGATAAATATTATCCACTACCCAAAATAGGCAGTGAATAATATTATATAGTGTACGTAGTGCTATTCACTTACCCCAAGGGGAGATTCATCTGTATGATTCATTTTTAACCAGATCAGTTATATAAAAATATTTCTTGTAAATAAAATGAGTTACTATGCGAAAGCTCTGTGCATTTCTATGATTTGGGTACGACTTTGATATATTTTTACCCAGCAGTAAACACTTATAAGGTTAATTTTGTCACCTTTTTAGCATGTACATGTATTTTATTATACAGGTGCTTCATTTACTGCTAAACTTCTAAAACTAGCATGAAATGACACCCCAATTTTACTCTCATCCTATAGGTAGCCAAAAGCGTTTCAAGTTATGAAAGCAAATCTGCTATCCACTGATTTGGTTAAATACTTGTATTATTATTATTATTATTATTATTATTATTATTATTATTATTATTATTATTATTATTATTATTATATCACTGTAAATAATATGATTTGGTGAAATTCTTGTATTATTATATGACCATAAATAATTTATTACATTTATTTTTTCTACTAAAATCAAATTATTTGCTAAAAATTTGAGCAATTTTTTTCTGATTCACATGATCAGCTGTTTTGCTTGCAGTATTGGACTGATTAAATATCCAAATTATCTAAACACAATCTATACACTATGAAAGCTCTGTAGAACGTCTTTAATTCATCATCATTATTATTGTTATTGGCATGCAGGTGATTAAAATTTAAGCCATGCTTATCAAAAAACTGTTATCACACACAGTATTTTTTTTTTGCATAAAACATAACTGCACTCTTTTTTCATAAAATATGCCAAGAACAAAATAGGATGATGGCATTTGGAGTCCAGTAATTACTCTACTATGGGGTGTATTGGCTAGATTTAGTCCTCGGAGTGGCACTTTTTAAGGCAGTGCTTGGGGTAGCCCTAGGATCTGTCACCAGTGCGGAAAGTGGATGCAGATGTATCTCCAATTACATATGTTGGGTGAATGGACACGACGACTGAAAATACAGCTGCATTTACAGGCTACTAGATGGAAGGTTTTTAAAATTCAGTAAAGTTGCCAAGTTACAGAGTGATTCGGTGCAAACTAACGAGGACAGCTCTGCAAAGATGGCAAATTTTGCAGACATTTGTCTGGTAAGGGAAAGTTTGTGGCTCCACCATACCATACAAAGGTCATTGAGATTATGTGACTTTGTGTCAACACTTTATTTCAAATCGGACTAATCACAAACAGCGTAAGAACCTAGCCAATCACAAAACACTGACATACATGCATGTCTTTGTGACCCTGTGGGATTCAAACATGATATTGTGCACTAATTCTCAGACGGCTGCTCTATACAGAAGGTTTAGAGTGTCTGCAACACAGGCAAGATTTTCATTGGATTGTGACAAATCACTTTGAGATTTGGTAATTTACCTAGTTTTAATGTGGCTCCTTCCCACGGGTGTCAAAGGATATTCACTTACTACATGGTAGGTCTTCATCAAAACTCAAAAAATTGTGCAATTGTCTACTGAGTAAATATGATTCTAGGAACTTAACTGAAAAGGAACTGAATCATGATACATGTCAACTTCAACTTGAGTGTTATTATTTTTTTGTAAATTTTTATCTAAAATGTCTTCTTCTTTTCTGAATGTTCAGGGCTGTGCTCTAGCAGAGCCCAGTGGCCCCTGGTGCCCAACTTTTGCCCTCGGGCGACTAGAAAATCACAGATTTTTCATGCAAATCATACGCTGGGCACCCTAGATTTTACAGATTCAGAGGACTGGGCTCCCTTCAATTTTCCTTAGAGCACAGCCTTGATGTTCTTCAAAAAATTATCTGTGTTATCAGGGTTGTCACTAAGATTTCAAGTTGCCGGGTAAATACAACAAGTAGGCGGGGAATCAAACGGCTAGGGATTTCTTTTGGTTCTATTTTTCTTCTATTTTCCAATAAAAGTAGCCGGGGGCCACTCTCTTAGTAGCCGGGGAAAATCCCCGGCCCCCGGCTCTTAATGACAACCCTGGTTATGCTTATGATCAAGTTCCTTTTTCTATTGTAAGTGGTGGGTGCCAGAGCAAACTCAAACTCAAACTCAAACTCTGGTGCTCCTTGGTTTGATGCTGGTGTCACTGTGTGCTCTATTACCATTATTTTCACTTCATTGGCTTTGACACCATGCAACTTTGCGGTCTAACTGGGCTATTAAACCATTAACCTCAATGCTCTGCCAGGAAAGTGGCCTTACACAGAGATTTTCCCTGTTTGGGAGGTCCTCACCTGAACCTGAAGAATTACCTTCATGCCACTCTGATACAGCTGTTTCAGACAAAGACTCCTCTGATGACATATATGCAACGGACATACATGCAAGGTACTTGTCCTTGTCTAACTAACTGATGCTAGTTGACTCCCTCAGAGCATATTGGCCCTTTAATTTTTTTTCTGAAAGAAAAATGAAGAGCCATGATTTAGCAGCCAACAAGTAACCCACAGTTGGTAAACAAGCATGTACTGCTCATGCTCAGTGTAAATGATTGGGTTGCAGAACAATGACACGATTCTAAAAGCTGAAAACACTCTCTTAATCAAAGGAACAGTCTGAGGATATTTGTGAGAAAAATTTCTCCCTGCATTTTATTCCTACTAACTTTTTCATTAAATATATAATATGTTTTTTGGAACAGGTGTTAAAGTAGAGAGCAGAAATGCCTCTTTCTGTTGAATCTGCATTTGTTTCATTAAGACTCTTTCAAGTGTAAATAAAAACTGAAATAAATTAATTCCCCTGTCATTCAAGAGCAGAACTGATAGTGTCCCACAGGTCACCAGGCTCTAACAGAGCACAGCCATGACTCAACTGTTCACATAAACCGTAAAACCGGTCAGAACCTGAGAAACATAACATTAAGGCAACCCACATGTTGCTTAGAACAATAATTAATTAATTGTGGTTATTTGGCATGATAAAGCCAAAGCATTTACTTGCAAAATGAACTAACAAAGATCCCTCTACATCATTGAGCTGTACAAAAGGTATAAATAATGAGGTATTGTCATTTAAAATGTGGAACAGTAATACAGTGGTCACTTGGAATGACACTTATGCTTCAAGATCTGGCAAGTGCCGTCACTCGCAAAATGAGCCAAAATTAAGATCTCACAATATCACTGAACCATATTTATAAAGCATAAGAGGTTTGGATGGTACAATTTATGAAAGAAGAATCACTTGTCATTTAAATGTGGAACAATAATACGGTGGTCACTCAGAATGACACATAGGCTTCAAGATCTGGCATACGCCGTCACCATAAAATGAACCAAAATTAAGATCTCACAATATCACTGAACCATATCTATAAACCACGAGAGTTTTGGATGGTACAATTTATGAAAGAAGAATCAATTGTCATTTAAATGTGGAACAATAATACGGTGGTCACTCAGAATGACAAACAGGCTTCAAGATCTGGCAAGTGCCGTCACTCGCAAAATGAGCCAAAATTAAGATCTCACAATATTACTGAACCATATTTATAAAGCATAAGAGTTTTGGATGGTACAATTTATGAAAGAAGAATCACTTGTCATTTAAATGTGGAACAATAATACGGTGGTCACTCAGAATGACACATAGGCTTCAAGATCTGGCATACGCCGTCACTCGCAAAATGAACCAAAATTAAGATCTCACAATAGCACTGAACCATATGTATAAACCATAAGAGTTTTGGATGGTTTCAATTTATGAAAGAAGAATCACTTGTCATTTAAATGTGGAACAATAATACAGTGGTCACTCAGAATGACACATAGGCTTCACTCGCAAAATGAAAAAAATGCCGTCACTCGCAAAATGAGCCAAAATTAAGATCTCACAATATCACTGAACCATATGTACAAACCATAAGAGTTTTGGATGGTACAATTTATGAAAGAAGAATCACTTGTCATTTAAATGTGGAACAATAATACAGTGGTCACTCAGAATGACACATACTGTAGGCTCCAAGATCTGGCAAGTGCCGTCACTCGCAAAATGAACCAAAATTAAGATCTCACAGTATCACTGAGCCATATGTATAAGCCATAAGAGTTTTGGATGGTACAATTTATGAAATAAGAATCATTTGTCATTTAAATGTGGAACAATAATACACTGGTCACTCAGAATGACACATATGCTTCAAGATCTGGCAAACTTATGCCGTCACTTGCAAAATGAACCAAATTAAGACTTCACAATATCACTGAACGATAATTATGTATAGATGTAAAACAAGAGTTTTTGACTGTAAAAATTTCAAAAGGAAAATCATTTGTCATTTGAAATGTAGTAGAATATTAAATAATAAATTATAGTGACCACTGCTTTGTCAAGTGCTGTCACCTGAAAAGTACAGTAACCCCAAAGATCTAACATATTAACTCAGCTGTACAACAAGCCAAATTACTGAATTATGGACATGCTAAGGTCACATCACCGACCTATATTGGTGTAAAAGAAATGTTTGCCTGCACAGCTCAAGATCTGGCTACTTAAGATTATTCCATTAATGAAGACGATGTGCAACAAAGAGTACAGTTATTTCTGCAGTAAACAAAAAGGAATCAATCAATGGCATATCTGTGCATGCATCTTAAATTTTAAGATTTATCTTTGAGGTTTTAAGCTTACGCAAAGTTATTAAAAAACCAAAGTAAGTAAACGAACCACGATATCAAGAAGAACATACCTTTCTGCAATCCAGCTGAGTTGATGACTTGGAAACAGGCTTTATGTGAAGAATATCGCAAATGATCACTGTCTCTCGAAAATAACAAAGGTATAAATCGTAATAGAACAGCTGAATAGAAAGACAGGCAACGCTGTATTGCTTGAGAAGTCCGCGTGAATTTGAACTGTTCAACGAAAGTTTATTTTACACTATTCTATTGGTTCAAAAGCCGCATGTGACAATGTAAATCAAATCGCGCATGTGGCAAAGTCACGTGGAAGCCGGGGAAACAACAAACATGGCGGCTGATCTTGCGATCGAGTGCATTCAGGACTACATTCACCCGGACGATGAAACTCTGCAATCTACTATTGAAATGACTCCTGGGTTCAAACCTTTCACATATTGTGCATTTTGTTCACCCAAATTGTAAATGGTAACGTTTTACGTCAGGGCCTCCTATTCCGAGACTTCTTGTGATATTTTTTTTTTCCGAGCCACCGACCCAATATCAGGAAACGCATTCGACGCTAAACGAAAAAAAAGGGGGAATGGCCTTACCCGAAATAACTAGCTGCAGCAAGTAATATGACAAACTCTGAGAAGAATGTGATGGTGATTGAAACGGGGCAATGGAAAATCAAAACTTGCGTGAAATAACACTGTGAAGTTTGGTAAATGTGCAAACGTTGGTTAAAGTGGTCGTAAAGATAGTTCTTTGATCATATTTTGCTTAAATTTACGCCTCTAGTAACCATAAATTTACACATTAACTTTGCTATGCCAGAAAATATCAAGCAAACATTCATTTTTGACGTTCGATTTTTACACAGAGAACAAAATGTCGGCAAATTTGAATCTAAACACCAAATTTACTATGGGGAGCAAAAGTGAAACAAAATATCTGTAAACTTGATATTTACTCCACATTTACGCCACCCTTGCAGAAAAGTAAACTTTCACTTTCGAACAAAAATTGCACCAAGAACAAATAAGTAGCAACATTAGTACCCTAAATTTACAATAGATTTGCTCAACTAGCAAACTTAGGCAAATCCGTTTTTTCGTCCAGTGATATGCGTGGTGGGACGTCTTAGCTTTGAAATTAAAGAAGGCTAAAAACGTAGTTAAACTTTGGCGTTTGGGAGATTTAAGCCGATTTGGGGTATATCATGTTCAGCTGTTGTTATCTCCACTGCGTATATACATATATTATGTAACTCTCAGACTCTCGCTTTTTATCGCTACACTTTGTCAGTGCATATTTCCCGTTCTTTATCTTATTATAGATGGATAGCGATGTTATTGTTTTAAGACTGACCATACTGACAGTTAATTATTCGAAGTCAGTAAAAAAGACATGTTTTGAAAATAATGCAAACATATCCTATTCAAGCATAGTAATGTTAACCAAATGACTAATCAGTGAGCTGTGTAATAACACACACGACCCTAAAGACCTGTACCACACCGTCTCTAACTGATAAATTTTACCACATTTCGATTCGGCCGTAAAATTTCAGTAGGAGGGTGCCACAACTCTGCATGCATACATAAAAAAGAGTTGCGTGCCGTTTTCAGTTTGGTCGATCGAATCATTGAGGACGTATCGATACTTACTTGGTATGCTGTCGTTTATGCTGAAGTTAGGCGGCTCGTAACACTTCTCATCGTTTGACTTTTCATAGTCAGGGAGAATGTGGCACATACTGAGTAGGTGATCCAAATAAAGGGCGGTAAATCCACTTGCAGTGTTTATACACTGCTTCAAAAACTCTCCACAGACTCGTTTGCAAGGAAGCACTCTTTTTCCATCACCACTGCACTTGGGCAACATAGCCGAGCACTCCATGGTCGCCGCCAAATTGAGGTCTGAGCAGTTCTCCCATGACGCTATAGTATGTTTCACGAACAATGAGATGCCATCCTTTAGTCGCCCGGTTAGCTTCTTTGGTAGTGGCAAAGTATAATTGTAGCCCGCTGATGTACAGACATTAAAAGGAGTATTTGCAAGGCTTTCGCATTTGTGGTCCGCGTTGGAATTGCAAAATACTGCTTTAAAGACACTGCATAATGAAATGCAGCATAAGATAGCTAATGTAGAAACTTTCATGGTTCATCTAAGAAGTCGTCCACTTCACTACATGTAATCAACTTAGTCGTACAACGCAATCAGGCTACACTGTGAAAGTCACGCCAGTGATCAAGGCACAGGCAGCCCAAGGTTTGACGCTGAGAGGCGGAAGTCCTTTTACTGATTTCCGACTTCCTAATTCAAACTTCCCATTTCTGACATCCATCTTGAGTTCCTTTTTTTTGTCGTTGATTTTTTTTTATTATTTGTTTTCTAACGAATACTTAAGTTCGCATCACAAAATAATTTGTCTTTTCATTGTTAGCAGTGTATTTTTCCGACCGGTTCCATCGAAGCTCCTCAAAAATGAGAAGTTCCTGAAAGCCGGAAGAAGGGATTTGACAGTCGGAGGTCGGAAGTCGGTAGTGCCTCCTCAGGTTGTAGTTCTGTTAATACCTTTCCAAAACTTTAAGGTGGTTTAATGAATATCTACCCTGCGAGCAGTGGTTTCTCCAGGCCGGACGTTGCGCAGCGCCCGGCCTGGAGAAACCACTGCTCGCAGGGTAATGAATATTACAAGGAGAAAGTACAACTTTCAAACAAGCAAAGTTTAGTTAACACGTTCGAAGACTCCTTTCCATTGCAGATGTCAAATTCAAATCAACTGTATACTTGCAGGAACATCGAACGAAACCCAATTTAGATGAATTTTTACGTGAGATTTTTGAAAAATATCCCATCGAAAATTGTGTCAAAGAATACTAAATACTGAAGTGTGGCAACTGACAGGCTTTCATCGTCCAATAGATTTTATTTCTATTGCAATTTTTTTTTATTTGTTTATTTACCAGATTTACTTTTTTGTGTGCCCAGTGAGGCTGTTATTAAGTTTTGTTACTTACTGACTTATTAATTTATTTTTCTTTTTGTTATGCGCTGTATTAATGTTGTTAATTTGTCGTCAATAAAAAAATATCTTTAAAAAATAGTAACTAAAAATAGAACTAAAACCATACCCTGTCCAAGCGGCACATACACCTTTTTTCCTGCACTGACGTCACAAGAATCCCAAAAACACGCTTGGTTCGAGTTCGTATGAGCACAATACGCGCGCGAGCCACCGGCCCGCATGCGCAAAATGCACATAGCTACTGAAAACATTTGGTTCTCACTGAAGACAAGATAGGAGATTCAATTTTATACCAAAAACTGGATGTTTTCTTCGAATTCGAGCAGTGGTGGTCACTCGAGGTGATGCCGATCATCGGAAATAAACAAGGCAGTTGTGCAAGGATCGCAAAAAGGCTCGGTTCAGACACTGATCTTTTCATGGACCGAACCTAATTCGAATTAAAGCCAACCCAAATTATTTAGACTGGCTGAATTGATTAAGACACCGATCTTAACCCCAGCCGGGCTTAATTCAAAAGGAGAAAAATCTTGCATACGTTATACGTTAATTTATGCATTAGATTCGCGCATGAAAAGTTTGTCGTCTGAATCAAAGCCACCCCAAGAGGGTCTCAATGGGGTGGTGGCTTTTACGGTTATCGGCTAAAATTTTGGCTCTTTTACGGCTATTGGTTAATTTTTTTCAGTTACGGTTAACAAAAAGTTAAAGATTAATTTCTTTTGTTTTAAAGAGTTAAATGTTAATGAGCCTGTATTTTTTGTAGCTTTAAAGCAAAATAAAGGTCTTAAGATCATCTCGGGATGAAATGCTATCCTTCTGAAAAATTTTAACATTTGATATATCATACTTTTTATAAAGTATTCTACTTCTAGTATTATTTTAGGCAAAGAAATGCCAATAGTCAATTTAAAACGCGAACGTCCAACTCAAGACCGGGGGCGTGACATTCATTTATAACAGAAATGGCCGTTTTCACACTAGAGACGGGTCCCGGGCGGGAGACGGGTGATTCGCGTGAGACGGGTTATCCGTTTGATAATTCGTGTCAGATAAGCAATACGTCTTAGTTTCAAAACGGAATGGTTTTAATTTTGAATGAACAATCCACCTGACCTTATTCGTCAATTTTGACGGACAGTTTGGATGTTGATTATCCGTTTCTGATAGCCTGTGTACAGCCGCCTCCACCAATAACAAAAAATCGTCTGTGGGGGAGGGGGCGTCTGCACACAGGCCAGTCTCAGAGGGATGATCCATTTCTGGCTCTAGTGTGAAAACAGCCGATAACAAAATTCCCGTGTCCAGCGTTTTTAATGATAGCGAAAGACTGTACAGAACGACTCAGTCTCCTGTTGCCTTGTCCGTAGGCCTCATTGTTCCGCGCGGCTATATGAGTTTCGGGTCACGTGGTCCGAGTGAGTTTTTTTCTCAGATACGCCACCGAAAGGCCTTGAACGAGATTGCGTGGGAAGACACCTTTAATACAAGAACTAGACATGGCAATGTCTACCGTGGCGTTAGAGATAAACAGACAATTGTTGTTTATCGGCAATGTGTTTTACAAACAGTGACATATCTCTGCGTGTTGTTTCACTAGTATTTCGAGGGCTCGATCTCTTTAAAATCGCAAATATTAATCCCCAGCAAGAAGCCAGATTTTCGCTATGGAAAAAAGTTAGTTCTCCGAGAGAGCGACGAAAATGGAGTTTAGGTATAGCTCAACACCAAAAAGCTAGGCGCTTGGCCTAACGTGCGTACGGAGTCAAAGTAGCCGGGAAGTAAAAAACGTAACCATTTAAAAAAGTGAGTTTAACACCTTCCTTAAATTAACAAACCCAGCTAGGGAACAATTTCTTTTACGGTTAACTCTTTTTACCCTATTTACGGCTAACGGTTAAAATTTTTCAATTTTTACGGCCATCGACTAAATTTTAGGCCGTTTTACGCCTGTCGGTTAACCCCATTGAGACCCTCCAAAGGCGAAATTCCCGGCCAGGCAAGGCGGGAAGAATGGCTGACCCGTTCCTGAATTGAATTCGAAATGGGCGTTCCTATTTGATTCAGACCCCGAACTTTTCATGAACCTAATTCAATTAATGTATTAGGTTCGGTTCATGAAAAGTTCAGCGTCTGAACCGGACCTAAGCCCTTCTTTTCCAAACCCACTGTACAGTGGTTGCTAATCTTCCAATACTGGTCCACTTCCGGATATATTTTAAATCATATTCTTCTTTCAAGTTATGCAGGTGGTGAAGTTTTTCTTTGAACTTCTGCTGTATAAGATAGCGGTCATCTAAATACACCACGGACCGGTCTTGTACGTACATGCAGTTGAGGACGTAGTTCTCGACTCAGTAGTATTGTTTTCGTCAAAGGTCAATCCTTGGCTCAAAAACTATTTTTCTTAGTGCGACGACATCTTTTTGTGCATCATATGTGGAAGGACATTTGAGACAAGAAAAAGTACAAGTATGATTGGTTCGCCCTCGGAAATTTAGGTTCTATCAAGATTTTGCAAGTAGGAAGCTTTTTCTGATTGAAGTTTTTAAACGGTTTACGTTCGTTTCGATTTTTGCTTCCTTCAAGGGTAGTGTACTTACTTCTTTGTCGTCTTTGTAAAGTTTCCCTTCCCCCTCTACTTCCACTGTTTAAAGTTTGTCTAAGTTAAAGCGAAATAATTGACGTCCTTGAAAGGTTTCTGCATTGTTTGCTTTGTTTGACCTTTAATTTATTTCTTTTTAATTAACAGCCTACATTTCGCGACGCCTCGTTTCCCCGAGAAACTCGGACGTCTGAGGAACGACTGCAGAAATTCCATACTGATGACGTGTCACTTCCCAGATGTGGGAAGAGCTTCTGATTGGTTGGAGCAAATTTTCCTCGCGGCAACACCAATCAGAAGCACTTCCCTCAATAGATCTGAGTAGTGAAACGTCATCAATGTGGAATTTCTGCAGTGGTTCTCCGGCGTCGTTTCGGCTGTTAAATCGGTCTAAGTAGTCTCAGTAAGAAATCTTTTCACTTGTGCTTCAACATTTACCAGCTTTTTATTTCCAGACTGGAGAATATGCGGTTAAAAGCATTTCTTTATTAAAGTGAATCTTGTCGAGTAGCAAGAGTATGCATGTTATCATCATTGGTCTGTCTTGTATACGGGGCCTTTAGATAAGCTGACGTTCTTGGCAGTCGTCTCATTTTCCAACATAATACCACCCAAACGACGATGCCCACAATCACTATGGCCAGCAAGACTGTTACAGTGATGGCCCACGCTTTTGCCGAGTCTGATGATTGTGATTCACCTGCAGTCGCCGTGATTGTTACTTTTGTCGCTTCTGATGACCCTCGTGGACCTTCTGTCAGTTCTACAAGAAATTCATGTAATGTTTAAAGGAGCTCTGCCGGGGTAATATGGTTGTTCGCATGGGTAAGCTAAGATACTGGCCATATCGCGGAGTTGGTACGTGTGCTTCAATGCATAATTTGGTATTGCATGTATCAAAATTCAATAAACCGTGGGAAATGCCACAAAATGAAGTGAAACATTAAAATATCCTGTCAAAACACAGTTCGACACAGTAAACACAAGTTAAAGGAGACACGGAGAGACATTGAAAGCATGCACTGGATGCGGGAACTCGAGAATAGCCATCGGGTACACGGGATTACGGGATTGAGTGAATATTTCCGGGTAGTGATGACGGAACTGAAGAACCCTGATGGAGATGCTAGCAGTTCCGTAGCAGGATTCTCACGCTGGCGAGCATGTTGCCTGTGAGCAAACGAAGCAAACAGAAGTTTGCCTGGCGCTCCGCGCACGTAACGAGCCCACTAGCGTGAAAAAAGAGATTGCTATACTAGTCTCCTTGTAACCCTAAACAAACAAAAGAAATATCATCATTACCCTTCGGCCCGCGCTGGGATACTTCACACAGCCATCTCCCACACCATGCGTTCCCGCCTTATGTACTTCATATCTATTACTCCATGCCAATGGCCCTAATGCATGTTTACGTCAGGCGAGCCAATTTCCCTACCAAAACTCATTTTGAAATTGTTAAGTAACAAAGTTTTGCGTACTGAATTCCCAAGACAGGAGAACTATTATCCATACAACAAAAGAGTGCAAATACAAAGAATTTTGCTTACAGACGAGGCTTCAAAGTGAAATTTGCTTGGCTGACCGCCGACGTAATTATGCATGAAGGCCATTCCTTTAGCCAGGGGTAACAGCTGAGAATAGGCCATTTGCACGATGGCGTCATTTTACTACTAAGACCAGAATTCTTTTCGTTTTTCTTTTCATATTTAAATTTGGAGCCCCAGTGAGGCTTAAATAACAAAAGCCCTAATTTCACAAGAAAGAATAACCCTGAAGGATTCTGGTCATAGTAGTCAAATGACGCCATCATGCAAAGGGCCAATTGATAAGTAATTTAGAGTAATGGAAGGCTGATTCCACAAAACAAGCGCATAATATCACCCACTTCTCTACTCTTATATGCGGTGTCAGGGAACCGAAGCAATGCCCCTAGTTCGGAGCCCATGAGTAGGCCCCTGCCCTAGTAAGGTATCTAGTCGCGCCGCGGGTGATATGATAGTTAGAGTGAGTGTGAGTTTGTGAATGAATGAGTAAGTGAGTCAGCCAGTCAGTAAGCCAGAGTGATCAGGAGTGAGTGATTAAATATCTTAGTTGACCTGCATATGGGAGCCAGCTGAATTGTTCTGGTAGGTGTGTACTGGGACAGAAGCCGTGGTGGGACTTTCCTTTTGCCATTGTACCGCAGTACTCAGCTCCAGGTAAATTGTCTCTAAAAGAAAAAAATCCAATCATCAGCATCGACTCCCAGCGAAACGGCGAATTCCGCCGGAAAATGACAGAAAAGAAAGAAATTTTGAGGTCAAATTATGTTAAAGGGGTAAACCATGAGGATACTCCCATTTCTTCACATAAAACGCCTCTGAACTACTCTAACAACATTGTATAATTAACAACAAGAGAGAAACACAGTCAACAAATTTATTATCCCAGGTGTGATAAAATCATATTTAACCATGGTTATTCAAATTTTTCAGTATCAACTCTGTCAAACAATTAAACGTACTTCAGCGCAAAGACAATTTTCGGTCACCTTTCGGGCGACCAGGCCGCTATAAAGTAGCCTGCCAATAAGCTCCCCATTTCGAGTGGCGAGCGAAGCGAGCCGAAAGAGAACGCGTGCGGTTCTCGCGTGATTTCTCGAGACTCCCCTAAATGGAGAGGTTGCTCGCAAGCCACAGTCTCAAACAAAAATAGTTGGGACACTTTAACCAAACGCTGTTTTTTCCCTTCTCGTGCTCCCCTCGTCCCTCTCAAAGTTGTTTATCGCGGCTCGATCACCAAATCTTGTACACCAACATTGAGGGGACAAGGAGACCCCAAAGCCGGTCCCAACCATTTTGACTGAGACTGTAGCTATTAATATTGTTTGCAAACCAATTGAGAATGACTGGTGTAAACACGTCCGTAACACTTGGTAGCACTACCACTAATAAGCCTGTCCCGATTGTGCTTGGCAACTTTTGAGCAACTTTTGGCTCTTGGAGCAACTTTTTTGCGGTTCTAGTAACCCAGCAATTTTTTGTCCCTCTGAGCAATTTTTGAGCAAATTATAGGTTTGGAGCACATATCAAGCACAAAAAAGCCAACGATTTCATGGAAAACTTCAATTTATGCGAATGTCTTAAATGTCAAATGACGATTTTCCTCTCTAGTAAATGTTTAGCAACCTTTTGAACACACAACCTCTCATTCATCCATGTTTCGCAAACCGTATGAATAATTAATTGCATCCTTAAATTTTCTCCCAAAATTTGTTAGCGTTTCTTCAAAGTTATGTTTTCTTAAATGTTAGAAATTAGTGCATTTTTGAGGAGAACGAAAAATAAAGCTTTAAATTGACGTTTATACAAAAACATTCAGAAATTTCGGCTGCAACTTTTTGGCATTCTAGTAAGCAAATTTTCCAACCGACATTTTACGAGAACAATCGAAACAGGCCAACAGCACCGCTTCAAGGCCTACGTAGACAAAAAACGCCAGTTACCTGAAGAAATCAGGGCAGTCTCTGGCAATTGCAACACAGAGAGGCCGGCATAAGCTGTACAGACGAAGACCTTCGTGAGGAAAACACGGCGGAAAATGCTGTCCACAGAACAACTTCTTGATATTTTCTGCACATTTAGGGTGCAAATCAAGCATTTCTAGCACGAGGTCAGGGAATCTCGTTTCAGCATTGTCGTTTGTATAGTTCTTGTCGTAAAAGAACTCGTACTCATCTTTTTGCACTTCAAGTGAAGTTAGGGTGTGGCTGTATAAATTCTTACACGCTGGGATTATAAGCTCCACGCAACCCTGATCGAGTGGCCCTATAAGATAACATTAGTCATATTGTTTATAGAAAATAAAAAAACTGAGTTTGTCATGATAATGCAAGAGGGCTTGGCTCCCGGTGGGGGACTCCGCATATGAAAGGGGTGGGGATGCTCGTAGGAAATTTTGAATCAAACCCCTAAAGGAGACCGATCTGGGCGTGGCCCAAGCTATTTTTGACCCCTAAAAGAGACCATGTTAAAACACAGACAATTATACATTTTTATATTATTTCACGTGCAACCCTAAACGAGACCTTCACGGCTAAATATGATGGTGTTTTGCCCAGAACACCCTAAGTGAGACGAAAATCCGAAATTTACACCCTGAAGCGAGACGACGAGCATCCCCACCCCTGTCATATGCGGAGTCCCTCCTCTGGGGCTTGGCTGCTCCTACCAATTTCCCATATACAGTGGAACCTCGATTTAACGAAGGGCCGAAGGGACGGACGAAATTTGTTCGCTTTCACGAGGTTTCGTTAGATGGAGATGAGAAAATCGTCCGTTATGTCGAGGACTTCGTTATGCACAGGTTTGTAAAATCGAGGTTCCACTGTACAGAGTAGAGCAAATAGGAACAAAAATCCAACTGGTAGGCCGAAACCAGCTGGCTAGCTATTTACAAGAATAGCCGAGTAGATAAAGGTCGACCGAAGAACATTCTAATCACCGATGGTGGCGGAATGGCTATTAAATTGCTATGACATACTAGTCCCCCGCCATACCGTAATCGACTCGGCATCATTTTTTTTGTCAAAGTAAAATAAAATTTATCAGTGTCACTAATTCTCGACTGTACATCTAGCAGTTATAATTCGATCAGACTGTGGAAATTCCGCTTGTCCGCATTAGGAAATGACCAACATTCAGATCTCCAGCGGCTTTTCTTTAATTATATTGCTCCTTGGTCATTTCCTGATACCTCAGTATGCACGCGCCCAGGAGATGGAGGTGCTCCGGAGTAGCAAGTGACGCTACGGGGATGATCGAAGGATTTTTTGGCTTTGAAATTTTCGATTCCGGGTTTTTTTTGCGTATAAAAATTTTGCAAGTATATTTTTGATGGTTTGATTTAAGCAGGGATTGTTTTATGTACTCAAAACAATCTATTTTTGGTGGTGACTGCGTATTCTGGCGTCTCATGAACAATATATGAAGACAAAACAATCAAGTAAAGAGGCCTTCTTCCTCATAGTACGAAGCTCCTCTAAATCAAGAATAAAGAATGCTAGTAAAAAAACAAGCAATATTTAAAAACGGTCTTCCTCTCATCTAGAAATGTCACAGGAAATGTAAAGAAAACAACCTGGAAAATATGGGTCACAGTGTGGGTTAACCCTTTGAGGTCCAATATCCCTATTAGTTTAGAAAAGACCAAAGCATTTCCCCTTATCAATTCTCATTTCCCCGTCTTCCGATTATGTATTGAGATTCTTAGGAGAAAGTTGATGTTGGTCACTCAAGGAACTTAAAGGTCCTCATCCTTGATGGGTGACGGATCAGTATAACATTATTATATTGACAGTACATTGCTTCAAATCTCTCTCGTGCTTGCATGCAACAAAAACCTGTTTAAATACAATCCGCTAACCGTTCCTTACTTGCATTGGAGAATGCTTTTTAGCCTAACTATACCATTAAGGTGTAAAATGGAAAATAACAGTCAATTTCCAAAGTCGAATTGAAAGTCTGATTACCCACCTGGTGATATGGACTTTAAAGATTCAATATGAACAAAGTCGTACACTTGTCGTTACTGTATACAATATCTTGGCGATAAAAAGTAAATCAATATCCTACGACAGCACAAAGCCATGTGTACTGATGAAAGAGGATTTTACATAACCGTCATTTTTTCTAAATTGTTTATTTAAGCTATATACATGTATCTCAAAGTACAATACAATAAACAGAGAGAGAGGGACACAAATTAAAATAAAAGAAGGGCAATAACTGGTACAAGAAGAGATACGTACAAATGACAGGATATTAGCAAAACAAATGTAACTTAAACACTAAGAAATATCAACTGAACATGCCGAAATTGTAAGCAGCTAAAGGCTCAAGAATTCTTGAACGCGTGTGGGCTCTCTATAGCTAATTTGTTTTTCAGAATTAAAAGTTTTAAAGGCTGAGAAACCATACACTTCTCTTTGGCTAAGGTGAGAACGAGCAAATATCGGGCAAAGATCAGGGGCACCCAATGGATCTGTTCCTCAAAATATCTGTTCTTCATGCAAATTTTTTGCTGGCTGGGAGATGTGGAAGAAATAATAGTCCTTGGAAGGAAAGTGTTGCTGGGAAAAAAAATAATTCAGGGTGTCAGAGGGGATTTGAAGTCTAGAATAGCTGCTACGGGTTACTTGTATGGGTTGCTTACCACTCAAGATCTGAATTGTGCCTTATGAAACTTCCCAGTGAGTCAGGTTGCAGGTTGTAAGGTTGCTGGCTGGGAACTCTTCCATCAGTCTTGCTGGGAGTGAGGAACAGATAATTTTTTTCCAGCAATCTCCCAAAATGCTTAAAATAGTCTCAGAAAACTTTGGCACGCTTTGTTGTTGTTTTTAGGTCTTGTTCTCAAAATTTCCCGTTGGGTGCCCCTGAAAGATTGAAGTGCGGAAGGAGCGTGTCTCAAAAAGATATTGATTTCGTGATTTTATTATTTTGGACTTTTTTCGTACACATCATTAGTTTTTCTTGGCTAGTTGACTCACCTGGTTCGGGGTCGCTGCTTGTGGTGAAGTTCGGAGGAAAAAAGCACTGGGTACAACTGGAAGTTTCATTTGGAAGTAGAAGACAATGCGGTATCAATTCATGCAAGTCAAAAGAATGCAACTCTTTCTTGCACTGTTTTAGGTATTCTGCGCACACTCGTCTGCAAGGGAAGATTGGATCTCCCAGAGAATTGCACTTTGGAGCAAAAAGTGAACACTCTATGGCCTCAACAAGGCCGCTTGCCGCACAGTTTTTGCTCTTCATTATCCCGATAGTTTTTTTCATGTCGAGCGCAAATTCTTCTTTACTCTCCTCTGGGACATCTATCGGATACGGAACCATCGTTTCATAACCCGCTTCCTTGCAAATTTCAAATGGTGTGTTTAAAAGGCTTTCGCAGGGATCCCCGTCAGCACGGTGACACAGGAGCGGCGTAAAAAAGCATAGAAGACAGGAAACGACCAACGCCTCGCTAAAATAAAACATGGCTGGCTCCTGACTTTTCTTCAGAACATTTGCGACGAAGGCTTATGTCTCTGAAGGGTGTCGAACTCGATATTTAAGCTACTCTTGTACTATTCTTAGCTTGACTCATTGTGATATTCAAAGATTTCCGCAATCACAAGAAAGCCACTCCCTCTAAAAATGTCGTATATATCACTTACGCAATACTCCTTTTAGAAACATCCATGCTATAGAGTGTTTCCACTTACGGGGCCAGCATCTATGCAAATTTATTGGAACAAAAGAAAGCGTTTGCATAAGAAAAGAGTTCAACTCCCAGAGGATTGGTTTGGGACAGCAACATGGCGGCCGTTTCATTGTTCTGGGACACCAATATGGCCGCCGTGACGTCATGTGAAAACACTCTATATTCCATCCATGCCGTTTGTATAGTACAGTATTGATACAGCAACAAGACCTCCGTTCACAAGGAGTGACGTGTTAAGGGTTTGAATACACTGGAGAGAAACGAAACTGCCAAAAAAAACGAAATAATAATGTAAAAAATTAAATTTTAATCGTTATCTCCAATCAGATCCCAACTGCAAACTGAGGGAAAAATTGTTGTGCACATCAGTGTTAAAGTTTCGTTAGTGCACATTTCCTTTAAGATATTGCCTTCACGAGCGTGAAATCAGTAACATTTCTTTTTAACCCTTTAAGTCCCAATATCCACATACAAATTCCCCAAACTGATCTCCATACATTTCCTTGAAGAATTGGTTGAGAGAATTTGGTAAAAGATCAAATATTTTTCTCTTTGTGATCATTTTGTTAATTCTCATAGACTTTGCTCATGATAGTCTATGGATATCGTTAGGAGAAAATTGATTTTGAGCACTATTGGGACTCAAAGGGTTAATGAACTATTGTTTTTCTTGTATTTATGTAACATTCGTACTGCATTTTTTACTTGACTAATGAGACGTCGATTATTTTTTAATTTTTTTAAAAATTTCTTTAAATTATGTTTTTAAGAAAAGATTTTTACGCAATTTCTTTTTTGCATGACTATAAATATTGTTATTTATAGTATTGCAAAAGTTATTTATAGTGAAAAAGAAAAACAGTGGTATTTATCACAGATAATCTGGATAAAGAATTATAGCTGCATTGCTTTGAAATGACAGCAGAAAATTTCTATTAATAACTCTCTTCAGGGTTCATCAGTTTGAACCAACAGGTCCGCATGGCAACTGCTTAAAAATCAGGGGGATGAATCTGTATTTAACAGAAACTATACTTTTTAAGAGTAAAATAATTTGGGCAATGGATTAGAAAATGAATTTCATCTTCGATTTCATAGGACCTCCTCATAGGAATCACAATTTCAAAATGCTGACATAATTTTTTGTCAGGAGGAGTTAATTTTTATCAATTCATGTCCCAATCTCGATCATTTAGTCAGTATGGCTGCTTACGCATAATTTGTCAGCCTTCAGTGACAATTGTTTTTTCTAGTAAGGTGTTATAGCTTGAAATTACATGCTTGGAAGTCATGGTAGTTTCCTACCTTAGTATATTTAACAATAATGTCAATAAACAATTATATTTCTGCGTTATATGTCTATGTTAATTAACTTTATAAACTGACTATTGCTTGGAAAAATAGAGAGAAATACGGCATTTAAATGAGAGAATACCCTGCCACTAATTAGCATCTTCTGTATAGGGAAGTATTTAGTATCGCTTCAAGTAGAGCGTCAACTAAGGCGAAACCTGTAGGACTAAGGTTTAACTTTCCTGGTCTGGAGACAAAAAACGCAAACATTTAAATGAGAGTTTATTGAATAGAAACAAATGAGAAAAAAGCAAGTACTATTTGTCTCAGTATACTCTAACAGTCAAAATTCAGATTGGGAGTGCCCTTGATCGTTTATTCTTCTCAATTTTTTGGTCCAGGACTTCTTTTCATGTATGAACGTTTCCAAAGAGACCTTAAAGTAACCACAATCGAAAATTGATGACATTTAATTAAAATTTTCGAAGCAGATCATCTTAATCTAAGGAAACAAGTTCCAAAACTGCTTACTATTACGCAAGGCTAAGTGCAAATCCTTTGTTGTGAAAATGAGTTTTATTTGCTTTACAATATCAAATCATTTTCATGTCAATGGCTTCGCACTTAGCCTCGCTTTGAAACAGAGGCTTGAGGCAACTCGCAAATGGCCTATTCGGTACTGCTTACGAGTCCTGGCACTTCTGATTGGCTAAATCATTTTTCCTTCACGGCAAGCGGACCAAACGGAATTACTTCCCATGGCCGGACTGTTCAAAGAGGGGTGAAGATATCCCAGGATTACTGCGAAATTTGACTTCAGGTCTAAAAGCTTAAAAAGCAATTTCAGTTTTAATTAATTCTTTTTGTATACGATTTGATGATTGGATAGTCTAAAAAGAATCGAGAAAATTATCCCGGAAAAAAGTTTTGTAACAGAAGAAAAAGAAACCGGGATTAATATTTAGTGCCGGGTTAGTGCCAATCGGCCTTGGAACAGCAGATATGAGTAGACACTAGTCTCCTTCGCAACTGTTATTAGGGTCGTCACGCAACGCTTGACAACCATAATAATGGCTGCGAAGAAGACTGAGTAGTTACACGTTATAAGTATCGAATTTCTGCCCTCGTTTCTCAGACGTCGTAGGAGTTTATGCCTGGTTTCCGGGTTAGCAATTTTTTTGATTGATTGTTCTTATAAATGCTACCACCCTGAAAAGCCTTTTCAATGGTTAATAAGACAATTGCACGATGACGATATTTGACTACAACTACCCGAATTCATTTCGGTTTTGCTTTGTTATTTAAATTTGTCAATCCCGCTCAGAATTAAAGAACAATAGCCTTAATTTGCACAAGAAAACAACAAACTCAAAGATTCTGGTAGTTGTAGTAAAATGACGTCATCGTGCAATTGTCCTTATTATCATCCTTAGCGATAAACTGATTAACGCAAGAAGAAAGTCAGTCATTTCTTTTTACTTCGACTTTACTTCTAAAAATTTCACTTTGGAGGTGTTTACTGTAGGATTGCTTCTGTAACTATGGACCCGTCTTAAACAAACTCTTAAGTGATGATACAAAAAAAACAACAACAACAAAACAAAACAAAAATAGAAAATAAAGGCAAAAAGATAGATTCGTTTGGGTAATCGAACAAATACACCACTTGCGATTCTTCGCTTTGACGTCATTCTACAGTTCAGCGATACGATTGGACAATCGAAAGATAACTTTTTTCAACTTAGTATTTTCTTTGGAGGGAAAAGAACAAGTCCATGTTTCATCACGTTTTTACCTATTGTCTGATAATTACCGGAACACTTACGGAAACCATTTTTCAAGGTCATACGAAAATCACTCTAACGGAAGCATTTTGCGAAATTATGATAAAGATTGGAAGTCTCTAAAGGGAGAATTGCATCTAGAATGTTCTAATAAACGGCTAATTAGGGACCTCAGAGTAGAGGATGTCCATGATCAAGAGAGTAATAGGTACTTTCGTACTCTCTTGCGGATCTCGTTGTGATACAGATTCATGCTGCAAGTACTTATTCACATTCCATACATGAGAAGGAGTGCGTCCTATTTCAGTAGCCCGGCAACAAAGCCTCTCATTTTATTGGGCCCCTATAATACGTAGCAGTTCTTTCATTTTTTGACTCGGTTCCGTTTTTAATTTTATTATTTCACTTTTCCCTCAAACTATCCTATGAGGCGCGTCCAACCGATTCCCTGATCTGACAGCTAAGTGAAACTATTAAGAGTGGACAGAAAAAGACTCAAAGCTCCATTGCCCCTTCCAGAGGAGCCATATCATCGTTTTGCTTTTGGTACCCTGTTTGCTTTGCAACGCTCCGCCATTTCCACCAGATAGCTCCTACCACAAAGAGGCCCACAACGATGACAGGAACCAAAATTGCTACTGCAATGATCCATGCTTTGGATTTTGGACCTTTGGTGGGAGAGGGTTCCTTTGTTGGTCGGTTTTCTAATCCTAAAAGAGATATTGAATAAAACTGAATTCTTCAGGTATAGAGTTACACCGTTTGCCGCTTAATTGAGCTGCCCAGTTAGTTTTATGCCCCCAAAACGCCGTCCGATTGTAAAGGCCGATCCACACGAGGGGTTTTGCTCCCCGAGCATGCTCCGGGCTCATTTTGCACGTGTCAGTACACAAGAGGGAGTGCTTGCTCCCAAATATTTAACCGGTTAAATATCGTGGAGCATTTGCAGGGTGGAAATTCTGCTCCCGAAGATGAAGTATACCATGAAATCGTTGGTACACACGGAGGAACTTTGCTCCCGGAGCGTGCCCCTAGAGCATGCTCCGGGAGCAAAATCCCTCGTGTGTATCGTCCTTAAGCCTCCAGCGCGCGAAGCCCCTCTCTAACTTGTATTGAAATAAATTCGATTTATTGTGAAGTTTTGAAGCTTAATTAAAAATCGGTAAAAGCAGAACGTATTTTGATCAGCAGTGCTATAGCCTGTCTCGAAGCGTTTTTTTTAATTTCTATTCCGGTTACAAGCTCCTCGGTTTACCGTATTTATTCCATTAAACGCCGCCGCGTTTATTAAATTTTTAGCGTTTGCAATGCGGCGTTTATTCGACGGCGGCGTTTATTTCGAAATCACCTTTTTTAAAATCACTGACAATAGTTATTGTAAATCGTTTCTAAACGTTATGTAATTAAAGGTTCCAGTGTCTCCCTTATTTTGCTGAGATAGAATCCTAGATGTCTGGATGGTGTAAATTACTTAGTTGTACCGAGGTTTTAAACGCCGCATTATTCTTTTTAGGTGAGGCGTTTATTCGAGGGCGGTAAATACGGTATAAGGCCTCCTAAAACCCCTTTTAAAGATGTATGTAGAGGATATTACACGGTGGCGCGAAGACATGAATTTTATTTTCGAGTGGCAAAACAATATTTTACGAACGACCGCAGCGAGTGAGTAAAATATTGTTTTTGCAAGCGGCCGTGTAATGTTCTTTTTATTATATAGACAAAATGACATCAATAAAATAATAGAGCGAAATTACCAAATTAAAATTACGTCATCGATAAACTCACGTGTGAGATTATCGAAAATAAACCACTCGGGTCCCGGATGTAGTTTTTATGAATTTTACGAGTGGTATATTTTCCAGTAAAACACTCATGTCTACATAATAAAAGCCCAAAACGTATAAGCGGCATTTTACAGTACCTAATTTGTTCCTTATTTCCTACTGTCAGAGAATAATTACCCTGCAAACCCTGCAAACGTAGACGTATTTCCGGTCGTTCTCACTGCCCGAGTGGAGAGTCAACCGATGACAGAAAATACGTCAGTGCGCTCCCAGGAAAGAGAATACACTAACCAGGAAGAAAGCGAACCCAGGAGAATGGAGATGGCCACTCTGTCCGTCGACAATAACCATGAGTGGTGGTTTCCTTGCCGGCAAAACTGCAGTATTCTGCATCGAAGTAATCGTTCCTGCAAATCAGATCACAAACAGACGGTCAGGTTAGGCTAGGTGCTAACACATTAGGGCCATTTATAGGAGGAAAAATAAAACGCGTCTTTATACCTACGACGCGTCTTAAATAAGACGCGAACTGTACCATTTATACGAGCATGTCTTATCTAAGACAAGAACAGGTCGTATAAATGGTTTGCGTCTTATTTCTGTTCTTGACTCGTTTTCATGTGAATGTTGCCCGAAGCAACGGCAATCCAACGTGGCGCGCCAAAAATTTACGCATGCGTATTATGCGTTCGCGTCTTATGCCAGACGCGTCTTATTTTTTCTCGTATAAATGGCCCTATTATGTCTTACTGCCTTAGACGCTATGTTGTTTAGTACGACCGCCCCATGTAAGTGAATCCAAGACAGTCTTGGATTCTGGATAACACGTCGTGGATTCCAGATTCCGGGTACTGGGTTTCAGTCTTTGTCAGTGCAACGTGGATTTTGGATTCCACAAAAAAATTTTCCGTAAAACCGGAATCCAGCTTCCCTTACTGGGACGAAGGAGGAGCAACTAATCAAGATTGTTTGTAAGCGCCCAACATGGAATTAGCGCACGCCTCGAATAAGCGCCCGCCCCCTAGCCTTTCCACTCAAACTCAAATAAGCCCTCACCCCACCCCCACCCTACCCCCTTCCCTCTCCCACCCCGAAAACAAGAAAATGAATAAGTACTAATAAGAGACTTCCCCGAAGATGAAGCTTTCTTCAGAGTATTTTACAGAAACCTTGCATTGTTACATCTTCGCGTTTCGTTATTAACATTTATTGTTTTGTTGCAAAACAAACATATTACACTTGCTGAAAATGGTGAAAATTTAATAAGCGCCCAGCCTTGAATAGCGCCCACCTCTAATACGCGCCCATTCTCAAGGTCCCAAAATTTAATAAGCACCCATGGCGGTTAATGGAATAAATACGGTATCCATTTAACTCTGAGTTCTGGCTGTTAACACCAAGGGAGCGAGTCATGACAAATGACCAAGGGCCCTTGGGGACACTCTACCGATACTTGATTGAAAATCAAGACATGCACCATCCTCAAAATCTTGGCGGTTCCTAAAAGCGTAGTAGTCTTCTGTAACAATGCAATTCTAATCTTAATCCTCAGGTTTTCAATTCAATCTATCGTCGGTCATGATTATCATTATTTCTATTATTATTATTAATGTATATTTATTTTACTTCGAGTACCTGAAGAAATCTGGGCAGACTTCTGTGATCTCATTACACACAGACTGGCAGATGGTGTATATTCCGGGATCTTCAGGTCCTTGATGCGGGAAACAAGGCGGTAAGAAATCCCCACAATAAAGCTTCTTTATGTTCTCCTTACACCCTGGATACTTATTAAATTGTTTTTGTAGCATTGGAGGAAAATCGGTCTCCACGTCTTCTGCCTTGTACTCTTTCTTGTATACGGCCTTGTATAACCTCTTTTGTTGTTCAACAGAAATAAGAGTGTGGTTGGACACGCCAAGATTCTTACACGCAGGAATAATCAGTTCTTGGCAGCCCCGGTAGAGAGGACCTGCGAGAGTATTTTATATAATTATACTGTCAGTGGTGGGGTGAGGATTGTGGAAAGAGCGTCACCATGTATATCACTGTTTCTTTCGGCATTTTTTAAAGTAAGAAACATGTTTTGAACTCCGTTCTGGCTTGGATTGGCTAAATTAAAATTGAAGAACGCACCAAGACTCAAAGCTATGCCGCCAGTAATCTCTTCTGTGAACTTTCTGTTTAGTGCTTGGGGGCACTCTAAGAATGGATAGGGTTTTGGCGGGATGAAGTTTGTTACTGACCTGTAACGCGAGAATTTTATGCTTTGCGTAAAGAAAATAAAATAAACTTTGTTGCATTAGGATAAACCCAGTCAACTTCTTAATTCCCTACTGGTTTATGATTCATAGCGGAGAAAAGAAATTTTAAACTTGACTCGATCGCCTCCCCCCAGCCTGATTAATGGTATCATATGGATACTATTTTATTAAAAAAAAACTGGCAGTGCAAAGTTTTCGCTTGGTTTTGTTATTTATCTGCCCTTTTTGTTGCTGTTAATGCTACGTGCTATGTATAATTTGGAGGAAGAAACACTTTGGCCCCTCTCACAGTTCATTTCACATAACCCCTACGAAGATGCCATGTTTCGCATGTTTGACTATATTATTGTCAAAGTCTAAGTCATCAGACAAACAAACTTCCTGTCTTTTCATTCTGAACTCAGAAGTAATCTTCATTTCACCCATCCCACCCACAGAGGTCAGCGAAAAACAACTCTTAAGATACAAATTTTTAGCTTGAATTCGAGCCAAGAAATCCAAAGGTTTGCCGTATTCAGTCTTGGCTCTTTGATCTTCGCATGTTAGGTCTCTCTGTACCGTGGCATTTGCTTTAGCAACTCAACTAATAAAACTAATTTAAAGTTTTGGTGTCTCAATCCCCACCGAACTTAGGGATGAAATATTTATGCGTTCAGTTGGACAAGCTTGTTCGGCTAATTTTGGTCAAATTCTTTTTGTTGCGTTTTGGACCGAAACGAAGTCGACAGCAACAATCGACCAGCCCATGGCTATAAGTAGCCAGTTTAATTATGTTCACATCATATAATACAACAAGCAGAGGATCAAAAGAATAACACTAAATGAAAAGTTAATGGAGTGCTTTAGTTTGCTACTAATTGTTAGATACTCGGTTGCAGGGTCTTTCAATACGCCGGGCTATGTAATGACAGTGCCGATAAATATTTCACACATTTCGCGGCATCATTAAACGCCGACAGTTTAAAACAGGAAGTTGATTAATCTAATCCAAAGCTTCAGGTTTTTTTTACATCGAAATAGCTCTGTGGTGTACAAGGTAGATGTACCAAATTTCTGCTAAGACTAAGTGCGGTTTATGAATATTTTCTACCCACCTTTATTACTGTCATTTGCCACAGAGAAGTTAGGCGGTTCATGACACTTGCCGCTACTCGAGGCCTCATCTGGAAGAACGTGACAGGAAGCTACTAAAAAGGCAAACCAAAACTCAGGTATTCCTTTTTCACACCGCTTCAGAAACTCGTTGCAAACTCGCTTGCATGGATAGACACGTTCTCCGTTGGAGCACTGTGGAAGAAAAAATGAGCACCTCATTGTCATAGCCAATACCTGACCTGACTGATCGCTGTTCGAGCACGCATTTTTGAAGATATTGGCGATTGCTTTGGCTGCTCTTTGAAGTTTAACCCCAGATAAGACAGCGGGGAATTTAAAAGTTTCATTGTAACCTGCCACAGAGCAGAAACTAAACGGACTTTCAAGAAAGTTGTTGCACTGATCGCTAGCATGGCGAGCATGTCTTCGGGTTTTCGGAGCCAGCTGCGGGGAGCTGAGGAGTGCAAAGGTATCATTTCCGACGCAAAATAACAGAACGAATAACCAAAGCGGAATGATCATGATCTGTGATCTGTCCAGCTTGTATTTTGGATCCAATCTGTTCAACGTGCATTCAGTTCTAACCAAGTCCTGTCAATAGTTTCTATATGTCGCTCGAATGACCTCAAGTTGCAAATTTAGTTGTTTTTAAAATCTGTCATGCTACGCTGCGTCAGTTGTTTCTACACTGTAGTTGCGTCAACGATTTGCATGTTTTGACCTCATCCATTTTTTTACGCTCTGAAGGTCAACATACTCGAGAAACATCAAAATCTAAGATGCTGATTACGTAAGCCCGGTCGACTAGCCCACTTTGTAGAAGAGCTAATCGACACCCTCTGTAACAGATCCATTGAAACCCTACCCACTGGTTTAATTCAGCCTCCCGATACCCGGCGAATCGTTTTTTTCTACCCGACTGATTTTTGGCTTCCCCAGTCACTTTCTATCATAACTTCTACAATTAATACCAGTGCATTTCGTCGTTTATATTTGTTTAAAAGAAGCAAAAATATAAAACACTATTACCATTGAATGACAAAAACAAAATACGGAGGGTACAGGTCTGATCAATCTCGCATTTAAAAAAAATTGTAAATCATTTAATTCTTCTCGCTACTACAATATGTAAAGAGTCTTTAAAAGGTGTTCAGAGTTGTCATGCCGGTAAAGATGTAAGGCCTACCACCCCTTTCCGCCTACAACTAAGAAGAAAAACCCGGTGGGAAATAAACCAACCGAGTGACGTTTTCTCCGAGAACCCAGTGAAGATGTAGATTCTACTGGGTCTGTTGCAGAGGGGTGTTAATCGATGGGAGACTCATCCCTGTCTAGATTGCTCGGATCATTCATGCTTTTTACAAAAGAGATTTAAAGCAACGTGCATGAGCGGCGTGTTACCCGCTGGTCTGTTACTAGCTTGCAGGTTGGTTCGTAGGGCTACAGGTTCTTAGAAAGAATATTTCAATCCCGGTTAATCGGAATCCCGGCGCTGCGGCCTATCTCCCTTTCTTGAACGGTCGTTACCATTTTCAACGGTCTATACCACCATTGGTCTGATTGGTCGTAATGGATTTATCAATACGATAATAGTCTTAGAATAGTCTTAGGGACGTCGTTGAAACCCGAGTGGAATTTACGTTAAAAGTTCATGGAAAGGGCTTGTGTCCTAAAAAAGACAGCGATCGTTTAGGACAGAAAAATTTGCCCCATGGCCGTGGTAATCCAGGCTAGTCCGTTCCAACTTGATCGCTCCAAGGGTTCTCCTCTGCTCGTCCCAAAGAGGGCAAGAAAAACAGCAAGATTCATTATGCAAATCATATATTCACTTGAACCTTTGAGGTCAATATTCAACAACGGTACTTTTAAAAAGATAGAATCAACATGTAAAATAGAGCCAGTTGAGCAGTGATCAAGGTTGCGTCTCTACTATAAAATCGAAATCCGGAGTTTTAATCGAAAACGGATATTTTTTGTATAGGTAATAGCATGATTTGTAGTGATATTTGGCATAAATACCACGAGTGATATTTTGAAATTTGAGACAATTTTGAAATATCAATAATAGTATCTATGCCAAATATCACGTACAAATCATGCTATTATTTGTTTATACTACTACCCACAAAAGGTTTGTAATTTTCTCATGTAGGTATTTCAAAATAAGCTGAAATACCACTGCTCTAAGCCAATCAAATTGCAGAAATTCTCATGTAGTAGTATAATAACTAAAATCCATAAACGGATTATTGATAAAAATGTTCCACAAGGTCAAGGTGGACACTTTGCAGGGGCACCCAACGACAATTTTCGGAAAATATCTGTTCGGAAGACGATTTGAGATCTAGAATTTTCGGAACATTTGTTGTAAAATTTCTTGCTTGCCTGCCTCTCCTAGGATGTTCGAACATCTAAAAAAGGGTATAATTGCCCATTTTTAACGGATTTTTACCCTAAAAAGGTCACCTAGAACTTTCGGGAGTCTTTTTTCTGGCTGAAATGATCGAAAAGGTAAGTTTTGATCCCTATAATTTTCGGATCCGTAGACTTTCAGCTAGGAAATCCGAACAGATGAAAAATTTTTGGGGATAAAAATATGCCTGTGTCTACTATTTAAATACTAAAATACGCTTAACAATGCTCTGTTTAACTGGTTTTGAACAATATTCTCGTTGGGTGTTCCTGACTTTGGATTATGCATATCCAAGACCGCAGGATACTTTGGATACATGATCCAAGCGTTTCTCTCCCACCAGCCTGGTCTGTTCCAGGCTTTCAGATAGGGATCACGCGTGAGTAAAAGGTACGGGAAGGTACCTTGTTTGGTAAACAAGGTGCATGATGGTGATTAATCCCAGCAGCCTGTCAGGCTCCTGTGATTGCAGGTGTTTCAGTTCCAGTGAGAAAAATACCATTGTAGGGCAAAGACATATAAAATTTGATTATATATGCCATCCATATGCATAGAGTACGAATTAAGCATGACTATCAGTTGATTCAAAGTCCTCGGTCAAGTCCATTCAGAACATTTCTATCGTAAGGAAATGGGAAAACGGTGGGATAAAATTTGGAGTGGATTTATGCACATTTTGTCCAGGTTCCTTTATTATCGAGTGCTTGCTAGCATGCAGGGGCAACCAACGATTGTTTTCCACTAAATAAAAGATCTGTTCGGAAAAGCAAAAAGAGCCTAGAATTTTCTGTTAGCTTGAGAACGGCTAAAAATTTCTAGATGACCATTACATTCAATTGCAATTTTAGAAGCTTTTCAAGAAATTCCCAACGATTTTCTGAAATTTCACTCCTCATGTTAAAGCTATTTTTCGTAGACAAAGGAAACCTCACATTTTCGGATTCGAAAATATGATGGTGAGAGGAACCAGAAAAATTCTCACTTTCATAATATGTTAAATTGAATCCAACATTTTTGGAAAAATAATAATGAAGCCCTTGTAATTTCTTTTTCTAATCAGTTCTATTTGAAGACTCAGGTTGCCCTCGGATGACCGAACAGATACAAATTATATTTAATAGCAACGCTTAGAATACATTTCTAGAGATCTAAAAGTTCTTTAGGTAGCCTAAAACGTGTTTTTAAAGTATTGAGGAGGGAACCGTGGTTGGGTGCCCCTGAACACACGCTCTAAAACGTGCTCCTCTTTGATTCGTCGATTTTGTCGCCGTGGCAACATAACCGACCACTTTGGTAACCGCGCAACGCTTTAAAGGAAAAAAATCAGCTGATTTAAAATCAGTATTTAAAAAGTAATAGCACGTGTAATGCTGGTTTTGTTCATGTTAGGGCAAACGCTGCGATGGAGATCAGCGCCGTAGCAACAGCGTTACTTTCTGTGGTTTTCATTTACTTACCGATCGGAGTTTTCTCTAGTATCTGCTATCGTTTGAACCCTTTGTTGTTCGAAAGATGTATAAATCTTGGCTACAACTACACTGCCAGTTTCCCTAATGATATCAACGTTAGGGAGAAGACTTTGGCTTATCAATTGGAGCAAGATACAAGACAGTTCAAACAATGCTCTCGACATTTAGATATTATGTTGTGCGCTATATATGTCCCTAAATGCGTTGAAGACGTTAACTTTCCCGTTTTGCCGTGTAGAGAAGTTTGTGAAGAGTTTGTAAGAGACTGCGAAGCGGAAGTCGACTATGAAAAGATCGAATGGATTAAAGGCCTATGCCGACTCTTGCCTTCGATCCGAAAAGACAGGAAGTGCCTTAGACCGGCAAATTATAAACCTCCCGAAAACATAACGGGTAAGTAAGATTGATTTTTTTATAGTAAAAACACTGTCACGTTTCAGTGACTCGAGTTATATTGTGTTAATAAAATTCGTGTTGCTGACTAACGCTGACTGAAGACGACGGCTAATAACGATCGATATCAAGCACCTGACTGTACGGTGAAATACTGGCCAAAGCAAATTTGAATTCGAGAGCACGTACGTGGAATAATGAAGAGATTATATCCAAGATCAACATCTTCGTTGCAATTATTTTTTTTAATTTTAGTTTGTCCGAATAAATATATCGCCGTGTTATAAACTCCTGAATTAACCCCACGTCGCTCCAGTTACAAGCCGCATGCAAATTTTTCAGAGGAATCGTTTCCTTTTCATTCTATAATTAGCAAGGAACAATTCGCCGTACAAGTGGGACCTTTTTAAAACAATAATGGCACTTTCATGACTAATGCGTCTGCATTCATATTGCTCAAATTAAGGCTGTTTTCTAGTAAGAAGTTTGTATTTGGCTTTTAGCAGGTGTTTATAGTGTTCGGACAATTGTCGAAAGATTTGTACGCTAGTAGAATAATAATATAAAAATTAACTTAACTAAAACGATTTGACAACAAAATCCTACATGTCACTTTTTTTTTAACTATATAAGGGCGATTTTAAGATTGGAAATTGACCCATGATAATTTACTCAGTTCAGTTACAAGATGGGTGTTAAATTTTATGCCGTTAGCTACCAAAAGGAGATCAAAAAATAGTTGTTAAAAATCTTTTCAAACCAAAGTGAAAGCAAATTAGAAAAAACACTTAACTTTTTTGCTTCTACAAATTTGCAAAATGGTATGAAAACAGAACAGAAAAAAAAAATGTTAACTGAAACTCTTAGCGGAAAAATATATTTCGCCCGGCTAACACCTGTTGGGGGGGTGGGCGCTAGTTACACTAAATAAACAGCTGTTTCGCCAACCAGTCGTCGAGGGCAAACGGTTTACTAAATAAACCATAAAACTAACTAAACTAAAACTGAAAATACTGTAAGTTAAAGAAACTCTGATATATCAGGTTATTTTAAAAAAAAATAAAAGGAAAGAAAAATTAACTTTAAAAGAAAAATTTGTGCAAGAAATGACAAGATAAAACGTGTGTATGTCTTGCTCTTGATGTACAATAGACCTTGTAAGGGTTTTGGAAGCCATCTTGACGAGTAGGCAATCGCGTGAGAAATTGCAGTGTTTGTATGAGAATCTAATGTTAAATAATTTCCTCAAAACGGCTGTCGGTTCAAAAAAAACATGAATTGTAAACTTAAGCTTCACACTCCTAAGGACTCTACTAAAAAAGTTTGAGGGCGTTACATGCAGCTACATGTACAAGAACAACTTTCTAAAATTTTCCATACATTTGTCTGCAAAAATGTTTCTTCCTGCCCACTACAATTTCCGGAAAAATTGCAGACAAATATGTGGAAAATCTAAAACAAGCGTCTGGAGAAATTTCAGCACAGGTTCGGCCCCAAATCCTTTGCTGTGTAGCTTTAGTTTACAATTCATATCATTGTTATTTTTTATTATTATTTTTTTTTTTCAGAACATGCGTTTTACGGAAATTATTTGAAAAATTAGATTCTCATACAAACACTCACGCGCTTGCCTACCCGTCAAGATAGCTTCCAAAGACCGTGACAAGGTCTAAAGGCAGCTGCTTTAGGTCAAAGCTCTCAAGTTTACTCAACAGCCTAAAGAAATCGCAAGGGGACGTATATCTTTACAAACACTAAAATTTAATGAATCCGACCAAGCTCTGTTCCTACAATAATGAAAAATACCGGAATTGTTTTAGTATTTTGAAATGATTATGAGAATTTTATTTTTCTAATTCCCCTATCGCCTCGAAAAACAGGTAAATTCACGTAGATTTCCCGAACACGCCACCCGTTGGTCATAATGCGAAACACGTGATACGCTGCATTCAAAAGTCCTGATTAAGGCCCCGTCTAAACATATCTAGATATTTTTTTGGCCTAGTCCCTGTACGGCATTTACCCAGTACCTCTAGGTCAATTCACTTCGGTGGCGTATCCGAGGCGAACGGGCGGGACCACGTGAATCGAAACGCTTTGGCCGCGCGGAATAATGAGGCCTAGGGACTAGGCAAGATATCTTTTAACCCGCAAATTTTTCTTTGCGGATTCAAAAATTTGCACGTCCACACGTATCTTAACTGCACACACGTTATAAGACTTCAAACTGAAGTCCAAGAAGTAAAGAAGCGATAACCTCAAGAACATTGCGCTTGGCACTGTCTGGTGTATTCACGGTTGACGGATTTAGCCTAACTTGTCCGCGTCAAAAATGGCAAAAACCGTGAAAAGGTTTATTGGTTGGCACTTGACCTCCGCAAAACAAAACGAAATACTCCTACCATTTGCGGTAGTCCTGCGGTACGGCAAAAACCTCAGCCTCAACTTGCTTGGTTAGATCACTTTAAGTTACATGTAGGCTAGCTACGTTCACACGGCAACGAACGAATTTTCGACCGGTTGACACGAAATTGTTCACCGCAGCATGTTCAGACGAAAGCACCTGAACGGAACAAAAGTTTAGACGCCTAGTCGTTCAAAGTTCATTGAAAACAGAGCAAAAATATTGAACGGTCCCAAGTGACCTAGGTTTCCGTCAAATTTTTTAGCTGGTTAAAAATTCGTCCGGAAACATATGAAGATTCATACGTTAGGAGGTCCGCTTGCGGAACCACTTAAAGCCCATGATAATTTCGGCGCCTAGCCGCTCAAGATATGCACCCCAAAATCGAAGTCAAATGTTTAACCGGTACGGTCGAAAATTTGACCAGTGTAAGAAGCACTGATAGCCGCCTAAGGCGTGTCTGCATGGATGGGTGGTAACTCAGCTAGCAGCTGAGAGAGGCATCTGCGTGGGAGGCTAGCTAGAACTGAGACGCCATTGTGGAATTGCTAAAGTGGCACTTTGCGCATGGGCAGACGGTAAAACTATTGGAGAAAATTCAACCTGGTTTGTCATTTTTGTTTGAACAAAGCGAAAATAGTGAACGGTTCCATGTGAACAAAGTATCAGGTGTCGAAGTAGAGAGCTTAAGCAGCAACGTTTTTGAGCGACGCACGTCAACCGGAAGTGGCCTTTTTTCATTTTTTGAGGTGGTTTCGCGCAAATTTTCAGTCAAATCGCCTCTATAACAGTAAAGAAGCTAAGTAATACAAATTTTATATCATCAAGGCATGTTAAGAGGGAAAATACCACACTTCCGGTTGACGTGCGTCACTCAAAAACGTCGCTGCTTAAGCTCCCTAGTATCTTATTGAGGGATTCCATTTCAACGAAGTGTGCAGTCAAATTTTCCATCCTGTCGAATTGATTCGTCCAGGGATATGTGAACGGAGCCAAAAATCCATGAAAAATCGGGGTGAAAATAATAAAGGAAAAAAGAAAAAAACGTCAAAGTGTTCGGGGGCTCAAAAGCGGTCACTTTGAGCTGGGTGAATGATTTGATTCCAAGGGCCATTACGCTGTGCACGATGCATAAATGCAAGGTACTCGGGTGGTGAGCGCTTTATATAATTGATTTATAATTTAAAGAGAAGGATTGTAAAAAGAAGACGTTTCTCGTCTCGAGTTCATAAAGACCAAACAATCTAAAAGGTAGAAAACAACGAAATTTAACAGTGCATGCACATTGGTACCGATACTATGAGTATGACGAGATGTTTCAAAACCAAAGCTGTACGCATGTGCATGTTGAAAGAAATATCTCGAAAATTCACCTCGGGCAAACAGCCTGAATTCTGGACTTGTTTGTTTAGTCTGGCGAGGTCCTAGGTAAGAGCATCGCATCTCGTAAAAAACCTTTAATTCCTATGAAAATTATTTTGTTTGAAGGTTAACTTGTATTGTTTACTCTTTTTTCTCCCGAAGCTGCCATTCTTCAGAACTGTGCCAAACTGCGTATGTCATCATGTTCTCATCTCGGCTACAAACACACCACTCAATCAAGTGACCTACAAGTTATTCTGAACAATGTGCTCAAAGGAAAAAACTTTGGAAATCACTCCACGTGTTCGTCGACTATTAAAAATATTCTCTGCGCGGAGTTCGCTCCGCCATGCTTCCCCGAACACAAAGACAAAATAGTACTGCACACGGTATGCAAGTCGGATTGTGAAAACGTGCGAAAAAAATGCCCCGAGTTATATAGAAAGCATTTTAGTGAACACAGCTTCTGTGAGCTAATGGCAACAGAAAAGAGTGATTTGGACGGATTTTGTAAGCTTACAAAATGGCCGACTGCGGTACGGTGGCCGACACACCCAAACCTCACGGGTAAGTACAACTAATGACTGTGAATGACAAGGTTAGGGTTAGTTTGCTAGGAGTGCTACACAACCGTTTTGAGTGTCGTCACGCAAGGCTCCTCCCAGAAGCGTTGCGTGACGACGACACTAAAACGGCTGTGTAGCAGACCATGCCATGTTGGGATTACCTTTTTTAGCAGCCTACGTGGCAAACACAAAAAAAGGATGGGGGAAGGGGGAGAGAGGTGCGAACTCCCTTACCCCCTCCCCCTATCCCTTTGGACGCCTGCAACACAGGCTGCCATTTTACTGTCAAAGAGTTCCGAATGCGAGACGTTAATCACGCCGAAATTCATTCAGTAAATATTAAAAAAAAAAAAAACAGTACCACGTGCACTCTTAAACAGTTACAAAGTTACAATAAATAAGGAAGTTTTATTTTTCCACGATGATATTCCATATCTTTTTTAACAAAAAAGATTTAGACTGTATGCCTTCACGATATTCAGTGCATGCGCGTGTTTCCTGACTACCTGAATCAAAATTCAAATGACATTTCAACCCCCTTTGACAGAACGTGTTACTTTTTTGGAATTCCGATGGAAATTGAACGTGTGACTCTCCAAGACTCGAAAAAAGCTCGCAGTTTATCAGGTATTTTTGGGGAGCGACGCGTCCTGCATCAGGAATGTTGTCCATCGCATCATGTAATTTCAGCCTGAAACCTTATTATGCATCGCATCCCTGATTTATATAATTTTATTCTTAATTCTTCAGAAGCGCCAACTCTCCACTCTTCAAAACCCACAACCTCTTCGTCTTCCTCCAGACCTTCTTCACCAGACTCACCTTCGTGCCACTCATCCGGGAATCTTCCCAATTCGGTTCCTCCCAGTCCCAACGTCCCTTTACACGCCAAAGTGTCCACGCCAGTTTTAGTCACTTCCGTGTGTACGGTTATTCTTGTGATGACTGTCATCGGTATCGTATTTTTACTCGTGCTGAGAAAGCGGCGTCGATGTTATCAGGGCTGGTCAGTGAGAGGATATCGTGAACAGTTAAATGAGTTGGAGACCATGGTCTCCTTAAGAACGTAAAACTTTTAACAATATTTCATCATCTAGGAGTTTTATTAATGAATTGTTTACCACCCACCTTCTGATCACATGCCTGGCAAGCTCTCAAGCGATAATCACAGTTTGCCAAAGAATCAGACGCGGATACAAGAAACAACTCTTAAAAAAAAAGTTGGTACCCTTAACCTTATGTGGTGATTAGTAAAAACTGCAATGAGGTTTGAATACTTGACCATAAAGAGACTGATGAAAACTGATCATTGATTCATATTCAAGAGTGGAATGAATGAATAAAGGAACGAAGGAACGGTGGATGTATAACTGGGGAGAGGGATGAATAGATGAATGAAATATAAAAGATAGACAAGAGCTATATGGAAAATAAATAAATGGTCGTCAATAGCAAGAAGTAATAAACCTTATTCACGATACCCACCATCTTTGCACGCGCTCTAGGATTGATGGGGTAAAAGAAATGTCACGCGGTATTTCAGGGGGCAAACAAGTGATAAAATGTCTCAATACGAGTAATCGCAGTCGAATTTGTTTATCCTCTAAAAACGATAAGGCAATTTTACTTTTGCAAAATACACACTGCTCAAGTTTCGACTAGTTTCACGTAATTATTTCTTGCTGTGAGGACATCTACCGTACCTACTGCAACAAAAAATATAACAACAATCACGTCCACCCATAATTTGCCATTGTTGTCTTTAAGATAAAACGTTCTTCGTTTTTTGTTGTCTAAAATAAACAAATGCAAGTGCGATTTCTTGTATTGGCAGATTTTATCGCTTGTTTGCGCCCTGAGAAACCACGTGACATTACATTTATCCCACCAGTCCATATGCGCGTGCAAAGATAGCTGGTATCGTGAATGGGGTCTATATATTACCTCTGCATGAGCAGGTCTCAATGATAAACATTATTTTCTGAAGGAGGGTTTTTTACTCGCTTGGGAATAAATATTGTGTTGAATGAATTACATGTATGAACGACAATAAATGTTTTCAAGTAATATGGATTCGATTTTTTTAAAATAATTTTGCTGCCAGTTGAACTGCTCCAGCGGAAATTGTATGAAGCTGAGTCTTTGGAGGTGAATAAAGGTTAGTTAAAAGGTCTTAAAAGAATCAGAAGCTGTTCAAATCTAGAGGGTCAGATACGCAATATTTTAATTACGTTGTTCTCTGTTTGTTCACCGAACTTGTTAAAGCTGATTATAATTCAAAGTTCCATCACAGTATCAAAAACCCCAGACAAAGTGACCCAGATATCAAGAACGGTTCGCTTTTAATGGCCAAAAATGTAAATGCTCTGTGTTGGGCTCTCTTTCAAGATGCTCTCTTCGAACTTTCAACGTGTGGCAAGTGACTAAGGGCCTGTTTACATGGAGGTGGGGGACCGCAGATAGGTGTGGTAGCATGCGGCGGGTCACCCAACCTATCAGATGTAACCGTGATCGCATTAAAATGAGATATTATATGGACAGGCGGGTTACCTCTGCTTCCTGGGGTCTCCCACCTCCTCTTGTCGCCCGCAAAAACGCAGATTCCTTGAATACAATGATATTAGACTTTCTCGTCGATTTTAAAACCGGCGAAAGTAGAGTTTTTTCAAGGTTACCGTTTCCGGCTTATTGAGTAAACATTAGAGATCTTAAGATACCCCGAAATCGGTGTACGGGTAACGGGTAGCGCCATGTTTTTTTTCATTTTGTGGTGATGTCATCGACCTTACCCGGTAGAACCAGCCGTTTTTCCGGGATAGACACCAGTTTACCCGTAGAAGATTTACGAGTAGCTGCAAGTCCTACATGATGGAGAAACGAGTAAGTTTTTAAGACTTTTTATGTACAAATGTAAATTGTATGACTCCTTGGCAATGTTATTGCAAGTCTGTTCAAATATTTTTGCCAAATTTGAATTTTAGCTGTAAAGAAAGCGGTTCAAAATGTATTGATTTTGGACCTCAAATGCGCAGGTTGAACTCTGAAACGATATCAATTTGTGGCGGTATTTGGGGGGATTTCTGAGAATTGCTCGAACGTTTGAGTTTCCAAAAGAAATAGCATTGAAAAATTTAGCATGGGAGTCACTGTTGAAGTTGACAATCAAAGGAATTGTTTGGTGATGTGCCTCGATCAAATGGCGGGGTTTGCGATAACAAGCTTTCGGTCGAGGGACTTCCCTTCCAAGTTTCTTAAAATCTTTCTATGATATTTCAATAAGCTTATGTATGAATAAATTATTTGTTGCAGCTTGTTGTTAAGATATGAAGTGTAGAATTTGAGGGAGATTTTGTATGCATTAAGCGACATGCATGTACAAAGTTAATTTTGCGTGCTTGTTCTTCGGGTATCTTAATCGAAATAGTCACGCACATACACATTTTACGTGTACGGGTACACTACACGTACTCGTACACCGATATCGGGGTATCTTAAGGTCTCTATTTTTTTATGCCGCTTTGTATCGGGCTCTTCGCACCTTACTTACAAATGTGTTGTGAAATGCAGTGAAAGCAGGGGGTTGTACTTGTGAGAGCTTAAAGGTGTGAGTGGAAAAGCACCAAAGGGAAATCAACATTCACTAAACTGTTTATTTGTATTAAAAACAGTCACGCAGCAAAGCACAGAAACTTCTAATCAGTTCTCTAGCTACGTAACTTAAGCCGCAAAAATTTTCTAGTCTTCTGATTAGCACGAACAAGTTTTGTTTTATGTAGTAAAGAAGTTAATCCATGAGCCATTCATTCAATGTCTCCAGTTACTTCTCTTGTGTCTCTATGGGAATACATTCCAAGGGTAATCGTACATGGCCGGCAGCTCATTCTCCTACCGATAAGCCTGTGCCGCGCCATTCCCAACTGACTTATAACACGTGTTTATAACGGACCCACAGTTCATGTCTTCTCCTCATGCGCCATTTATTAGAACTCCTTTACGGCTTCCGTTATTCGCAATAGTTGATGATTCGACTTTTCGATTTGAGGCATACCTCATCATCTGCGTCTCGCGGGCAAGTGCCTCCAACGTAAACCCCTGCACTCTGCAACTGGCCGAGAAGAGTGTTTTCTGACCCCATTGTCCATGATTCTTATATAACCGCACGCTTCTTATAGTAGGCATCAATGTCCTCTTCCATACTGCGACCACCAAGGACCTTAATAGGGGCACCTAACTACTGTTTTCTGTAAAATATCTGTTCGTAGAAGCAAATATTACCTAGAACTTCCTATTACTTAAGGACGGCTAAAAATTTCTTGACGACCGCTCCATTCATGTACAAATTTCGAATAATTTAACAAATTCAACACATTTTTCTTAAGTTTAATTTTTCATATTTTACTTCCCAGGTTTGGCTTTTTTTCGTTGACAAAAGGAAAACCTAAAAGTTTCGGGTTCTAAAATGTCATGGAGAGAGGAATCAGAATCAAGTTATTACTTTGAGTTCGTAATACGTTAAACTGCATCTAAACTTTTCGGGAAAATAATACTGAAGCCCTTGTAATTATGGAAAGACTCAAGTTCCCCGCGGCTAGGATGATCGAACAGATACAAATTTTAAAGCGCCGCTTGTAATTCAATTTTTTTTTTAAATTCATTTTTAGAGAAAAAAAAGTATGCTGGATAACCTAAAAAGTGTTTTCAATGGAAAATGCCCTCAAATACAAAGTAAAACAAAGCTAAAACGGTAAATTTCCTTCCAACTATAAGGCTAACCCAATCAATTTTGAAACGCAAATTTCCCTCCGTGGGTGCGCCCTTCCAAATATAAGCCCCTCAACGGGGCATTTGAAAAATATAAGCCCCGGGGCTTATTTTTGGAATTTAACGGTATCATATCAGAGTTCAAATTTCGCACTAACCCTGGGTTGGATCTTAACCCCAGCTTTGCAAACAACCCGGTCGTCAGGTTTCGTTGTTTCAGTGCTGATTTGCATAGTTATTGTTTGTTGTAACAAAAGAAGGGCACTATAACTTGTGGGAATTGTTCTTGTTTTTAAGAATTTTTGAAACAATATCAACGAATATAAACAAAAGCAACGAATCAACATTTTGTCGATTACGTGAACCGGTAGGATCTAGTAAAACTTTTAAAATCTTTCTCTCACCGATTTGTTGCGCAGTACAGAGTTTACGATCAAAGGGACTAAAACCTATTGGTTTTTAGTCAAACACAGCACGATTTTTGTCATTTCCAGCCCGTATAATTAAATTATGCTAAGTTAAATAACTTGATTGTTGTTGTCCGGTCTATTTACACATTCGTTAATATCTCTATAGGATATGAACCTGGATACGCGCAATGGTTTGAATTCATTCAGGTGGCACTGATCGGCATATCGCCGAACAAAGTAGCAATCTAAACTATAGTCGGCAACCGCACCAATAATGATACTGAAAGAGCTCCGGTTCGTTGAACAGTTGTCTTGCAGTTCAGTAATCGTTGCGATCGTTAATTGATTTTTTTTATTCTCGACCGTAGCGATCCTATATCAGGAAAGAGGCTTTATCAGAATCAAGACTGTATCTTTTAACGTTAAATTGTTTTAACAGCGACCAGCCAGCAAGAAACATATTCTATATTTCTTAAAATTTCATTGTCCCCCATTTCATCTCATTCAATTGCAAATTACTACTAAATAAACCGAGTATCACAGAAACAAAAGGCACTATCCAATCAGTTTCATCAGATCTGATGACGTCAATCCTTCCTCATTGGCTGATACCTCCCCCATTGTTCTTTCTCTATATATTTGCGATACCACCCGGATGGTTTGGGCGGATCCGTAAACCACTGAACAGTATAACAACACAACACCGTCTCAACAGAACACTTCAACACAACACCTCCACCTTTCAAAACTTAATCCATATTCAATCAACTAATCTTTAACCGTAATAGATTTACAGTAGACCCTTGAATTCCAATTACGGCTTCTCCGCGCTTCGCGCCTCGATTCCACGCTTGGCGCCTCGATTATCCTCGCTCAGGGCTGCAGAATATAAGTAATTAAAGCTATTCATCTGTTCTATTGTACTGTCAGTGTAAATACTTGGTCTCTTTGAGAAGCTGAGCGACAGCTAAACGAATGAACAGATGAACATCTCATTCACTCCAGTCAAAGACAGAAACAGAAAGTTAACCGAACAAAATAAACAATGTAAAAACGCAAACAAATGGGTCCGCAACATAAATCACTGATAAATCCACCATGCTGTAAAAATTAGGTACACATCAAAACGTTCAGTCGTCCTTCGAATCGAACGGCCGTACTTTTTTAATCTAAATTGGTCTAGAATCATTCTAATATATTCTTCTTCCTCTCTTCTGAAATAACTCAAAATAACTGCTAGGTGGGCATCATTCAGAATAGAAGGCATTAGTTGGTTTTCACAAGCCCTTTTTCCCCTTATACCCAGGACTTGACTTCTGAAATAAGTCAGTTCATCCTTATCTTGGCTTGAATGTTAACCATTTTTTTCGATCGCGAGGCGCACTTTATTTACTTCAAACAACCGTAAGCTTAGACAAAAGAAGACAGCCGCGCCAGTGTCACATCGATACACACGACTTGTCACTTCTGAAGTTTGTAAGTTTACCGCTGGTAAATGATTGATTCGGCTATAACTTCGAGATAGATGATGGCCCTTAATCAAAATTTGGCAAACATAAAGAAGTTAATTATGCATCAGTCAATTCCACCTGCGGGCAAATGCCCCGCAGTTCCCCGTGGGGGGGAGGGGGGGCGGGGGGCTGGGCGCAGGTGGAATTGACTGATTCATTATCGCCCTTTAAAACATCACGTCGTGACTATTTTTCGAAAAGTCGTAAATTATCGACCAATTGGTGCCGGTTTAAGGAAAGAAATCGAGCAACAACATTTTTCTCATTCGTATTAAATATTTCTAACACATCACGTTTGGAATGACTTTCTAATCGCGCTTCAAGAAAACATTATGAGGGAAAACATGATTTTACATGCCCAAATTTAATCTTATTCATTTAAATCTTTAAAATTTTTAAGCTTCGCGATTCATTCCAACCGTAGAAAGTTAGGTAAATATGTTTATCCTCTTTCAGAAATGCCAATTTGTTTACCCAAACAAAGTAAATCAATTCGCCACCAATTCGCCAATTTCCTTTATATTGCCAAGTAACGTTACTATAATTAAACGTTCAGGCAGCACGATTTAATTTCATTCACTGTAAGGATCAGCTATTTTCACTACATGGCCGTTATCAAGAATCTGCCTCCTTTAATCAGGGGCACCCAACGACTGTTTTCTGTAAAATATCTGTTCGGAGAAGCAAATACTGCCTGGAATTTTCTATTACTTGAATACGGCTAAAGATTTCTAGACAATTGTTCCATTCAGGTACAATTTTCGAAAAAAAATTCCCTACGATTTTCTGAAGGCGGCCCAGTTCATAAAATGCCTTCGATATTTTGTTAACTGTTCAGTTGCACCTAAAATTTTCTGGAAAATAACACTGGAGCCCTTGTCATTTCGAAAAACCTCAAGTTTTCCTAAGATGGCGGAACAGATACAAATTTTATAGCGCCGCTTAGAATTCATTTCTAGAGATGTCTAAAAGTACTCTGAACACTGAATAGCCTAATTTAAAAAAACAACTTTTCAATGCTTTTAGGAGAAAACGTCGTTGGGTGCCCCTGACTTTAAATGGCCTTGAAACCTTACGAGATAGTTATTTTCTCCAAGCGGCTTTTTGTTGAGACATACCTTCTGCGTGATTAACGGTTGCGAAGGAGGTTAGTGATCGAGAAACTGGCTTCGTCGGAATGAAGACGGTAAGTAATGTTTCACCGAAGAACTACTGCGAGGACAACAGCCTGCGATAACAAGAGCCTCGGTTATTTGGGCTAATCCAACAAACAGACAAAAACTTGCACGGATCCACCTTTCGTTACACGACACCCGAGGAACCGTGAAAGTATTTTAACGGCAAACAGCACTAAAATCTGTAGCAGAATAAATTTATTTTGCTTCATTTCCCTCAAAATTCTTCATGGTTTAGCCTGTTCGGCTTTCTGTCAAAACATTAGGCGCTCTCTTGGGGAAGAGCGCGGGCTCATTTCCCGAACAGCGGCTGGTAATCGAGGCTACTACTCGGCTACTACAACGTTTGTCCCCTTCCAAAGACCTTAAAAGCAGAAATTGTTTGATATGACTCGAGAGCTGAAGCTGAGGTCTGTGTTCGTGCTAGCATTACTGATTTTTTTATTTGATTTTGATCAACGCTAAGTCTTTGATACGTCAAGAGTATTTGCACAACGCTAAACGCTAGTATAAAGGAGTCTGGGCCGGGTTGTTCAAATCAGGGTTAAGTTAACCCAGGGTTAGAGCGAAATTTGATTTCAGATATGAAAGCTTAAAAAGAAATTTAGTTTTGTTCTTTTCCCTACAACTTGATGATTAGATGCTCTAAAGAGCTAGAAGAGAGAAAATTATTCGGAAAAATGCTTTTGAACAAAAGAAACACCCGGGTTAAAATTTAACCCTGGGTTAGCGCTAATCGGCCTTCGAACAACTGGACCAAGTTTCACAATGCTTGTATAAGGATCCTAACTCCTAAATGGGATTCATTTCACTCATTTTCCTAACCCCGAATAATCATTCAACTTAAGAAAAATGTGCTGTTTGGTACGCAGGGGAGAGGTGGCGGAAACTTATTTTCTCTCATTTTCTCCTCTCGCGCGCGCGCGCGTATTCGAAATTTCTGCTTCCACCCTATAAATTACAGCGACGTTTCGCAGGGCGCTTAGTTTCGCCATCCTTACTTTTTCCCGGCTTGTTTAATAGAGTTGACACAGCTTTGAAACCAGAGCTGGTCTAAAAGAAGTTAAACGTAAAAATATGATATAAAACGTTATAGCAATTTATATATCAGGGGCACCCAACGACAATTTTCGGAAAATAACTGTTCGGAAGACGATTTGAGATCTAGAATTTTCGGAACATTTGTTGTAAACTTTCTTGCTTGCCTGCCTCTCCTAGGATTTTCGAACATCAAAAAAATGGTCTAATTGCCTATTTTTAACTGATTTTTACCCTAAAAAGGTCACCTAGAATTTTCGGGAGCCTTTCTTCAGGCTGGACTTTGCGAAAAGGTAAGTTTTGATCCCTATAATTTTCCGATCACTAGACTTTCAGCTAGGAAATCCGAACAGATGAAAAATTTTTAGGGGATAAAAATATGCCTATATCTACCGTTTAAATACTAAAATACGTTTAACAATGCTATGTTTAAGTGGTTTTGAACTATATTCTCTAATTTACGGCGAATTGAGCGAAGTTGGGTTGGGGGTGACAGGATTAAAGCAGCCTATTGGGGACAAAGTGTCTGAGAAATCAAGTCAATCAAGAACGGTTGCAGATAATAGCCAAAACGCGTTTGTAGTGTAGCGTCGATCACAACAGCACCCCAAATGATCTTTCTGCTGTACCAAAAAAATGAAAACGAACGGTTGCGCTCTATTTTACGAGGCAACACTTGAACTTTTAATGTGTGGCAAGCGACTAAGACCTTGATGGTTTGGCATGTGGTTCAAAATTCACGAGGCTGCGTTATAACTGACAAAATAACGAAATATTAACCTTGACAGATACATGAGTGCGACTGGCTAAAATGCAATCTCCGGTTACGTAATCGTATCGTTGGTTAACTGTAAACGGGAAGGGGCGAATCTAGGGGGAGGGTGCAGGGCGTGCGCACCCCTCCCCCCCCTGAGACGACCTGCGGTTTTCTAATACAACTGGTATTCTGCAAAAAAAAAAAAAACTATGTGGTTTATTGGAGTTGAAGTAGAGCAAGAGACGAGTGCACCCCCTCCTAAAAAAATCCTGGATCCGCCCCTGACGGGTCATATTTTTTTCCATGGTTTCTAGCAATAGATTGGCCCTAATTGTCAACTCCGCCTGAAGAGTTCTACGATCACTCGTGTATCAAAAAAACTGGGCTCACACAGAGCGAAACAATAAAACAGCTGCTCATCTTGAGAATACTTGACATGTATTCTTCAAGAGAGTTAAAGGATTCTGTTAATTCTGAGAAAGACAACTGATGTACTTCCGGTATTTCGTGGAAATAACCTGCCATTGTTTTCAAACGGCTACAACTGAATCAATTAATGTTTTCTGAAGCATGTTGATCGCAGGGGGGTATTTTAGCGCAGGTGTTCGCTCAAATGTATGCTAAATTGAAAATAAAACACCTAACATTAAATATGTATTCATGCCATTAATCCAAATAAATTAAAATTAAAGTTAATTAAAGTTTATCAGAATTAAAAGGTACACCAAAAATAACAAGAACTTCATTTAAAGCGCATATAGCTGACATAGATGCTCCGAAAAGAACAACTCTGCCAGGGAAAAATAGTACTAAATGAATGTGGTGGGCTTGTTGGTGCGGTCTTGTGAAATTGGTTCGAAAACCTCAGAACCGTCCTTTAAGCGGTTAATATGCAGCCTTAAGTTCCAAGGATTCCCGTCTAGTACAGGCCTAGGTTTTGTTAATGAGATAAACCATTCTGTCAGAGGCTTGAGACTGCATAGAATCGAAGTATTCAGCACAAGTATAAAACTTTTATTAGTCTTCTAGTGACCTCTAGTGTACAATGGCTTCTACATGACACAGGTATTTACTCACAAAAGTGCAAGCATATTAGCAAATACTAAGCAGATACAAAAGATCTAGAACTTCCATCATCTCCTTTTGCACTAATCGAACAAGATAAGTGAAGGAGTAGATCAAGACTGCAAGTGGCCGGGAAGTTAACAGGAATAGATAACAATACCACTCGATACTAAAGTACTTTTTTGAAGGGTATATATCTCCTAGAAAAAATATCCGTTCAAAATATCCTGGAAGCACCGAGGATCATTAAGCGATTGTTTAAAAGAAATACTACGTGCAGGTGAGGATGTTATGATCTTGGAAACAGCTTTCGGTTTAGGCAATTAACAGCCTTCTCAATCTGTATAATTATGTTGATTATTTTTCACGAAAATGGCGGCAATTGTCGCCAGTGAAACTGAAAATTTATGAGTCAAAAGGCATACATAGTATACTGGTGTCTGCTGGGGCCCCATTATACTTAAACTGTATGGTTTCAGTTCCCTGCATTTAAAAGATAGATTAAGACTCGGGCAACTTTGATAATACCTCAGCCACAACTGATAATACAAAGAGAAAATAAATAATACTGACAATTACTGAAATTAAGCTATGCGTATAAACGGTCATCGAATTGATATCAGATCCGCAATTAACTTACACAGCTGTGTGCTGCCTAAAATGCAGTTAGCTAGTCATTTGTACTTATAGGAGTCGTCTAATTAAGTTCCTTCTAAGTCCATAGATGCTGCTTGGCCGCGATTACGAATCTCGACTGTCACTTCGGCAGTACGCTTCTGGAACGCCCGCCGTTACTTGTCTTATTCCACGCATAATTGTATTTCTTCAACAATTTCGCCTCCTGCTTTCTCGCATCCTCCTGATTCTTAGCCTGTTTAAAACGCATCTGTAATTCATAACCTCGTTCCAACGCCTCATCCATCAGTTCTGCTATATGATTACCATTACTGCAGTATCTGCGGATTCTGCTTCCCAATTTTGCGCCATAACGGCTTCCTTGGGGGCACGTACTTCCAAGATAAACTACACGGTTTGGCTGATTGCGCTTAGTTCCTCTCCACTCATAGATGCCACAATGTTTGCCCATTTCACGTGAATTTTTTCCCTTTACAAAGTTTTTTAGTATGAAGCCCTTGTGATTTCGCCCGCGCTTTATGACTGCGTTTCTTTTATTATCTTTGGGTACAAGGGCCCTCTTCCACTCTGACCATCCTTCTCTTGGAAGATGACTTCTTTCTCTCTTCTTCCTCTTTATCATCCGAGCCATTCTGCGACTGAACGCGAATCTTTAAGACGCTTCCGTTACCGCTGAGTGTTACCGAGGATTACCAAGACGTAAATGTTTCCTTAATTCTTTGACTTCTTTTTATAATTTGCGTCATTATAACTGCCATGCATGGACGCCAAAATTCAAATTATCCAATGCTGTAAAACATTTCATCTCACGTGACCAAAAGACTGAAAAGATTACAATATTTATAATCAGCTATTTACATCAGTAGAGGTCTTCCGGTATTTCCAAGAAAGTCAGTGGAACGCTATCTTTTGAATACTTTATGACTTAGTAGTAATGAGAGCTGATTATCCCAGACTTTCTAATTAATTTTAGATCTTATACATGGTTAGGTACCACACGTGGTGCATGTCGATTCTAAAGCTATGAACAGTTATACTGACCGTTGAGTCTCTTTTCTTAATCACATTTCCAATTTCGTATAATATAACTGAATAGTTTTGTCATAAATCCGCTGTAACGATCACTTTTGAAAATGTATGTCGACCAGCGTCAAGTTAACATAAAAATTCGAAACTTCGCCATGTTTATCACCCGAGATAAGTTTTGTTTAAATAAAATGTGTTCTTAAATATAAATCAACTCCCAACATAAGATAACACATTATTTACACTGCTCGAAACTAACGGTCGTTTACTCGTCTAAAAAGAGTAAAATTAGCCAAGAGTCTCAGCACCGAGTTCCGAGAATGTGGCTTCAAAGGCTTGAGACTACAAGGGCTCGAAGCATTCACTGAGCACCGGTGGACTTAAAGCAGTTATTAAGGGACGAAGTTTCGCCGGAGTTTAGGCGAATCATCGGTCGTACGAATCGAGAGAAAACATCTGAAAGATGCGCAAAAAGGACAGCGTAACGAAACTTACAGTGCATTTAAATGTGAATATCCCTGTACGTGCATTTAAAATGTCGCACATAGAGCAAAAAGAGCAATATGAAGTTGCAACGAGTAAATGCTGGCACACATATACAAACAGAAATAACTTAATATTTGGGCAGAAATTATTATTTTTCATATTTCACTCCCCAGGTTTGGCTTTTTTCCTTTGAAAAAAGGAAAACCTAAAAGTTTCGGGTTCTAAAATGTCATGGAGAGAGGAATCAAAATCAAATTATTACTTTGAGTTCGTAATACGTTAAACTGCTTCTAAACTTTTCGGGAAAATAATACTGAAGCCCTTGTAATTATGAAAAGACTCAAGTTCCCCCTAGGATGACCGAACAGATACAAATTTTATAGCGCCGCTTGTAATTCATTTTTAGAGAAATAAAAGTATGCTGGATAACCTAACCAGAAGTGTTTTCAATGAAAATTGCCCTCAAATACAAAGTAAAACAAAGCAAAAACAGTAAATTTCCTCCCAACTATAAGGCTAACCCAATCGATTTTGAAACGCAAATTTCGAATATAAGCCCCTCAGCAAAAATAAGCCCCTCAAAAAGGGCATTTGAAAAATATAAGTCCCGGGGCTTACTTTCGGAATTTAACGGTATGATATCTGAGTTCAAACCTGGGTTAGATCTTAAACCCAGCTTAGCAAACAACCCGGCCGTCAGGTTACGTTGTTTCAGTGCTGATTTGCATAGTTATTGTTGTTGGAACAAAAGAAGGGCACTATAACTTGTGGGAATTGTTCTTGTTTTTAAGAATTTTTGAAACAATATCAACGACTAAAAACAGAAGCAACGAATCAACAATTTGTCGATTACATGAACCGGTAGGATTTAGTAAAACTTTTAAAATCTTTCTCTCACTGATTTGTTGCGCAGTTTACGATCAAAGGGACTAAAATCTATTGGTTTGTGTTTACGCCCCGAAAACAGAAATAGTCAAACAAAGCACGGTTTTTGTCATTTCTAGCCCGTATAATTAATTATGCTAAGTTAAATAACTTGATTGTTGTTGTCCGGACTATTTACACATTCGTTAATATCCTTATAGGATATAAACCTGGATACGGGCAGTGGTTTCATTCAGATGGCGCTGATCGGCATATCGCCGAACACAGTAGCAATCTGAACTATAGTCGGCAACCGCACCAATAATGATACTGGAAACCTCCCGTTCGTTGAAGAGTTGTCTTGTTAATCGTTGCGATCGTTAATTGATTTTTTATTCTCGACTGTAGAGATCCTATATCAGGAAAGACGCTTTATCAGAATCAAGACTGTATCTCTTCACGTGCATGAACATCTTAAATTGTTTAAGCGGCCGGCCAGCAAGAAACATATTCTATATTTCTTAAAATTTCATTGTCCCCCATTTCATCTCATTCAATTGCAAATTACTACTAAATAAACGGAGTATCACAGAAACAAAAGGCACTATCCAATCAGTTTCACCAGATTTGATGACGTCAGTCCTTCCTCATTGGCTGATACCTCCCTATTGTTCTTTCTCTATATATTTGCGATACCACCCGGATGGTTTGGGCGGATCCGTAAACCACTGCACAGTATAACAACACAACACCGTCTCAACAGAACACTTCAAAACAACACCTCCACCTTTCAAAACTTAATCCATATTCAATCAACTAATCTTTAACCGTAGTAGATTAACAACAGTGAACCCTTGAATTCCAATGACTGCTTCTCCACGCTTCGCGCCTCGTGGATTCGATTACCCTCGCTCAGGGCTTCAGAATATAAGTAAAGCTATTCATCTGTTCTATTGTACTGTCAGTGTAAATACTTGGTCTCTTTGGGAAGCTGAGCAACAGCTAAACAAATGAATAAATGAGCATCTCATTTACTACAGTCAAAGACAGAAACAGAAAAGTTAATGTAAAAACGCAAACAAATAGGGCCGCAACATAAATCACTAATAAGTCCACCATGCTGTAAAAATTAGGTACATATCAAAACAATCAGTCGTCCTTCGAATCGAATGGCGGCACTTTTTTAATCTAAATTGGTCTAGAATCATTCTAATATATTCTTCTTCCTCTCTTCTGAAATAACTCAAAATAACTGCTAGGTGGGCATCAATCAGAATCGAAGGCATAAGTTGATTTTCACAAGCCCTTTTCCCCCTTATACCCAGGACTTGACTTCTGAAATAAGTCAGTTCATCCTTATCTTGGCTTACATGTTAACCTTTTTTTTTTCGATCGCGAGGCGCATGCACACTTCATTTACTTCAAACAACCGTCAACTTAGTCAAAAGAAGACGGCTGCGTCAATGTCACATCGATACACATGACTTGACTTTTGAAGTTAGTCAGTTTATTGATTTATTCGGCTATAACTTCGACATAGATGATGGCGCTGAATCAAAATTTGGCAAACATAAAGAAGTTATCGCCCTTTAAAACATCACGTCGTGACTATTTTTCGAAAAGTCGTAAATTATCGACCAGTTGGTGCCGGTTTAAGGAAAGAAATCGAGCAACAACATTTTTCTTATTCGTATTAAATATTTCTAACACTTCACGTTTGGAATGACTGTCCATTGCGCTTCAACAAAACATTATGAGGGAAAACATGGTTTTACATGCCCAAATTTAATCTTTATTCATTTAAATCTTTAAAATTCTTTAAGCTTCGCGTACATTCATTCCAAACGTAGAAAGTTAGGTATGTTTATCTTCTTTCAGAAATGCCAATTTGTTTACCCAAACAAAGTAAATTAATTCGCCACCAATTCGCCTTTATTTTCAGTTTTTGCCAAGTAACGTTACTATAATTAAACGTTCAGGCAGCTCGATTTAATCTCATTCACTGTAAGGATCAGCTATTTTCATTACGTGGCCGTTACCAAGAGTCTGCCTCCTTTTATCAGGGGCACCCAACGACTGTTTTCTGTAAAATATCTGTTCGGAGAAGCAAATACTGACTGGAAGTTCCTATTACTTGAATACGGCTAAAGATTTCTAGATAAGTGTTCCATTCAGGTACAATTTTCGACAAAAAATTCCCTACGATTTTCTGAGGGCAGCCCAGTTCATAAAATTCCTTCGATATTTCGTTAACTGTTCAGTTGCATCTAAAATTTTGAGGAAAATAACACTGAAGCCCTTGTAATTTCGAAAATCCTCAAGTTTTACTAAGATGACTGAAGACTTTATACAAATTTATAGCGCCGCTTAGAATTCATTTCCAGAGATGCCTAAAAGTACTCTGGATAGCCTAATTTTGAAAAAAAACTTTTCAATTCATTTAGGAGAAAACGTGTTTGGGTGTCCCTGACCTTAAATAGCCTTGAAACCGTACGAGATAATTATTTTCTCGGCTTTTTGTTGAGACATACCTTCTGCGTGATTAACGGTTCCGAAGGAGGTTAGTGAGAAACTAGCTTCGTCGGAATGAAGGTGGTAAGTAATGTTTCACCAAAGAACTACTGCGAGGACAACAGTCTGCGATAACAGGAGCTGATCCAACAGGGGCTGATCCAACAAGTTAGAACTTCAATACCATTGGCGGAAATATATTATTCACTTAAATATCTTGCCCCGGTTGTTCTAGTCTGCTACACAGCCGTTTTTAGTGTCGTCACGCGTCACGCAACGCTCCTCGGAGGAGCGTTGCGTGACGACACTTAAAACGGCTGTGTAGCAGACTACGGTTGTTCAAAAGATGGATAGCTCTATTCATTGTATAAGTATCAGGGAAACCAATTACGCTCAGGTCCAGTGAATAGATATTTATCCAGTGGATAGCACTATCCACCTTTCCGGAACGACTGGCGCCTGGTTTGAAGCGGGAAATTCATATAACATCCAAATGCCTTAATCTATGCTAGTCTTCTACACAGCCGTTTTAGTGTCGTCACGAAACGCTCCTCCCCACTGGTGGGGAGGAGCGTTGCGTGACGACAATAAAAACGGCTTTGTAGCAGACTAAATCTATGCATGCCACGTAAAAAATAAGTTTACACGCAATCATAGTGTCCAATCAAAATTTTTGTGGTTTCATGTAGGACTCCCCCCTAAACGGTTGCATTTGTAACACTTCACGTTTGAAATGACCGTCCATTGCACTTCAAGAAAACATTATTAGGGAAAACTTCATTTTAAATGCCCAAATTTAATCTTGAATCATTTAAAACTTCGTATGATTCATTCCAAACGTAGAAAGTTAGGTATGTTTATCCTCTTTCTGAAATGCTAACACAACAACCACACAATACGCAAAAAGGAAGAGGAAGAAAGGAAAGAACAAAGTAGGGACCTCCACGACGATATTCGCGGTGGGTTAACTATCCAGATCCTAACCCGGCCCTACAAGGCTTAACTTGAGTGGCGCTTGGGTTATTGAGAGATACGTATTTCTAGTTTATGTTGAAATGCTGTACGTGAATTATCCTCGGTGTGGAAATTGTGCATTTTCAGCAAGTTTTGTAAGGGAGTGTACTGATGTTAGTTTAAGTGACGTTGCTGGAGAAGGTGTGGAGTTTTAACTGTACATAAGGAAAGTGTTGTTGTAGAGGAAATAAAGGAAGTGGAACTGAGATCTCGTGGTGTGCATTTATTTATGGCTCAAATTAAAATCGAATTGGGCCACGCGGTCATGCACGTGGCAGACTTCCGGTGAAGAAGTTAAGACGTCTGTTACACAAAATGAGAAAGGTAAGGGTATTTGTATGGAAAGGTATCCGGAAAAATATCATTTCTTACTATTCCTCCGCATTCACAATTAATTCACAACCCCGACGCCGAAGCTTAAGCTCCCATAGCGTCTTGTTTGATTTGAACACCTACAAGTCTTTTGATACGTCAAGAGTATTTGCACAACGCCGAATGCTAGTATAAAGGACTCTGAAGTTTCACATTGCTTGTATAAGGATCCTAATTCCTAAATGGGACTCAATTCACTTATTTTCCTAACCCTATAATCATTGAACTTGAGAAAAATGTGCTGTTTGGTGTTCAGCAAAATTTCTCTTCCTCAATCCTATACTGACGCAGGGGAGGGGAGACGGGCAAGGTAATTTGATCCGTCTTCTATTGTCTTATCTCTGCACTGGAAGCGGCGCTCTTTTTTTAATTGGGCTTTGCCGTAGGCTGCCTACTCACCTAACAACACTTTTTGTAGGTTACAGAATCTCACAATCCACTTAATTATCGGCTAACACATGTATTAACGTATACGTTAATGTTCCTCCTAAGTTTACTCGTGTGCATTCGCTCAGAAATAAAATGTCGATTACACGAGGAACAGAATTTGGTGAATCTATTCACTCTAAATTTGACATGTTCAAAGATAATTCCTAACCATATATATTCGGTGATTAAAACTCCGCTGCTAATACACATAAAATATTCACAAACATACACTGAAGCCATTCTTATCGTATTATCTTTCTACTGTCCTCTAAAAAAGGAAAGGAAAAAAAAAACAGGCGCAGGAAAGTTCCTTTAGAGTTACTTCCTGACAGCCTTTAGTTAGCCTCTTATATCTTCGTACATTATATGACCACGTATCAGATTGGCAATAGTCTTATACCAAGTTTCCCGCCATTGCGCCTCTCATTCCAAGCGTAATCAAACATGTCAAGTAGCTCATTCTCCAGGTTTCTAGCTTGCAGTTCATTCCAAGCCTGCTTGTAACGGACCTCCAGCGTATATCCTTTTGTTAATGCGTCATTTATCAGAGCTTCTTTATGATTACCATGACTGCAA